GCCAAGGCAGAAGAATTGCTTGAACCCAGGAGGTGGAGGTTGCAGTGAGCCCAGATCACACCACTGCACTCCCAGCCTGGGTGACAGAGCGAGACTCCATCTCAACAACAACAACAAATTGAGTAATTGCACTACAGTGTTATGACAGCTCTGACGTCACTAGGTGATGGGAATTTTTCAGCTCCATTATAATCTTAGGGGGCTGCCGTTGTGTCTGTGGTCTGTTGTTAACCAAAACCATCGTTACGTGGTGCATGGCTGTGCCATCCAATGACTCTTTTATTGTAGACTCATGTTTCAGTTCTGGGCTTCCCATTTAGTTCTTTTACAGTTTCCATCCTTCCTGAAATATCTCACGTCTTCACGACACCTTCTTCGGTTCTGTGTTTCCCACATTTATTACTTTAAAGCCCTGTGATACGGTTTGGCTGTGTCCCCACCAAAATCTCAACTTGAATTGTATTGCACAGAATTTTTCCCACGTGTTGCCGGAGGGACCCAGGGGGAGGTAACTGAGTCGGTCTTTCCTGTACTAGTCTCATGATAGTGAATAAGTCTCACGAGATCAGATGGGTTTATCAGGATTTCTGCTTTTGCTTCTTCCTCATTTTCCTCTTGCTGCTGCCTTGTAAGAAGTGCCTTTCGCCTCCCACCATGATTCCGAGGCCTCCCCAGCCATGTGGAACTGTTAAGTTCAATTAAACCTCTTTTTTCTTCCCAGTCTCATGTGTGTCTATCAGCAGTGTGAAAACGGCCTAATGCACCGGGCTCTGCTGATTTTAACATCTGGGTTATCTTTAGGTTTGCTTCTCTTGAACATAGGTTATATTTTCCTGTTTCTTTGCATGTCTGGTAATTTTATTGTATAAAGGACACCATGGTTTGTACTCTAGGTTTTGCACTCAGAGTGAAGAGTGTTGAGCTTTGATACAGCCACACATTAGATGACTGTCAGAGCACCTAATGCTTAGGGAGTTTTCGCTTTGTGAATGGCTGGCTTGCTCTGTTTCCTGGTGAGTCACAGATTGAGCTTCCTCTGCTTCACCCAGGCAGGCAGCCCGACAGTGACAGTCGGCCTCTCTCATAGTAAGATAAACGATGATGAAAATAGGTTACCACTTTGTAACAAAACAGTTGTTGGGGAAAAATGTTGATATGTAGCTAATTTGAATTTTGACTTGGATTCCTTTTCAACCTCAAAAAACTTTAGTTTCCTTTAAAGCTCCTTCATTATTAACACCCATGCATTTTATTATCAGCATGTATCATCTAGGGGAAGGCTGCGGATCGACTCCATCTTCCCAGCCTTGGCGGAGGAGCACCTCCCATCACAGTCTGTTTCCCCCCCATCTCCTACCTCTCTCCCCAGGGTTGTCATTATTTAGCGCCCTCTCTCCTCCTTGAGTCACTTGTTGGTGTAGAAGTTTCTTCTTCCTTTATGTCTCATGAGGCCTTGGAGCAGTGCCTGGCAGCATGAGGGGCAGGAGTTTCCACACTGCATTTCTGAAATGTGGATGCTCCGCCAGCAGGTGAGCGTGTCTACTGCACTTATGTTGCTGAAGGAATTTTATAGCTGCCAAGTTCTGTCTCAGCCCTTTCTTTGCTTTCCCAGGGATCCACTTAACAGATTTTCTCCAGCTCTGTTGCTCTTCCAAGGTCCCAAAATGTGTCAGATAAAGATAAAAGATAATTGTTTGAAAATAGAAAGCAACTCCCACTTGTTTTCTCATACAGTTCAAAAGCAAGGATGGCGTTTTCCAAGTACTTCTGTCTGGATTTTTGGACATTGTTCAGATTGAAAGCCTGCTTCGGTGAGGGAGCTCTGGGCGGAGTGTGATGGCAGGAGCCCCCCTCAGCACACCCTTGCCATCTTCCTTACACTCCCTTGCTCTCTCTATCCTGTGGTCACCTGACCAGTAGCCAGGGAGAAGCCTGCAACAGGGGAAGTAATGTTCTCTTCCTTGGCTCTTGCAAGGAAGAAAAGGAATCACTCACACCTGTAGGATCATCCCAAGGGACAGAGCCGAATCTCATAGCGTAGGCATAGCTGACATTAATTTGATCAGGCATGTCTTCATGAGTTTTCTGGCAGAGTGGACAAGCACCCTGAGCCGCCTCCAGACAGGGACATGTCCAGCACATACCCACGCAGAGGTGACTTCCATTTATGTTGATACTGTCTAATGCCAGTGTCTAGTCAGCAGTTAACTCCAGCTCAAAAGGAGTGAAAGCGGGACAGGCAGGTCCGCATTAACCCATGTGTTGCCTATTTAAACTACCTTTAAGGAACAGTTAACCCAAGGAAACTGGCTGGTGAGCTGGAGTTAACACAAAAATCTTCTTTAAATGATTAGTGGTTCCAGGTTCTTTTCTTTTAGGAAAGGGTTTCTGCAGAAGCTTGAAAAGATCTCCACTATTGCAAGTGTTCAGCCTCTGCCTTAGCAAAGAATTCAGATAAGGATTTTAAATCCATTTGGTTAAATTGAACACATTCTTTTTCTTTCTTTCTCTCTCTCTCTCTCTCTCTCTCTCTCATCTCTTTCTCTCTTTCCTTTCTTTGTTTCTCAGGGTCTTCCTCTGTCACCCAGGCTGGAGTCTAGTAGTTTGATCTCAGCTCACTGCAGCCTCTGCCTCCCAGCTAAAGTGATCCTCCCACTTCAGCCTCCTGAGTAGCTGAGACTACAGGCACATGCCACGATGCCCACCTAATTGTTGTTTTTTTTGTAAAGATGGGTTTCACCATGTTGCCCAGGCTGGTCTTGAACTCCTAGGCTCAAGTGATTCACCAGCCTTGGCCTCCGAAAGTCCTGGGATTACAGGCATGAGCTACTGCACCTGACCTTAAATTGAACAGAATTCGGATTTCATTTGGGGATGGTCTACTCTAAATGGTTGTAGGGTGGAAAGCCAGCTGCTCTCAGGCTGATGGGGTAGGCTCCAGATTTGCTGGAAAACAGGCTACTGAACTACAGGCCTGAGTTACTCATGTGAGGGTTGTCCTGGCATCTTCAATTCCTTCTTCTGCCAGCAGTGGCAGTCCCCAGATGTGTCTGCTGTGGCTGATTGATGTCACTGGACCTTTGGAGGGTCCTGAGCACCACTTTAAAATCCTCCAGGATACTTATCATGATGACTTTCATTGTCTGAAGCCAGACCAACAGGTTCTGCTGAAAATAATTTAGCACAAACTCCAACCTGGGGAGCTGGGAAAGGATTGTGTCCCCTTCCTATGCATGCAGGCTGTCCCTGTGGGGACTGGGAGAGCAGGAGGGAGAACAGCCTGCTTATGTTTCTCCCCTTTCTGATGACCTGTGCCTGTGCCGTACAGTCTGTGATGTCTGTGCATCGGTGGCCAGGTCATACTTCTGTGTATAGTAGGCATGCAGGTATGTCATTCTGTGAGTTCTTTGAGGGTTGGACTTCTTAGAGTCCCTTCCATCACCTTTAAACATAGTAGAGAATACATTTGTGTACTGCTTTTCTCTTTTTCAAAGCTTTGTGCTATTTACCTCTGCATTGCCATCGTTATCATAAAAGACTTGTTTGCAAATAAGGGAAGTTTGCAGGGGCATCGTCGTTAATGTCTACGATGTATTAAATAGTTCAAGGATAGACTGGACAAGGAAAATGAGGCACATCTACACCATGGAATACTATGCAGCCATAAAAAATGATGAGTTCGTGTCCTTTGTAGGGACATGGATGAATCTGGAAATCATTCTCAGCAAACTGACACAAGAACAGAAAATCAAACACTGCATGTTCTCACTCATAGGCGGGTGTTGAACAATGAGAACATATGGACACAGGGAGGGGAACATCACACACTGGGGTCCGTTCACGGGGGGGATAGGGGAGGGACAGCAGGGGGTGGGGAGATTGGGGAGGGATAACATGGGGAGAAATGCCAGATATAGGTGATGGGGGCGGAGGCAGCAAACCACCTTGCCATGTAAGTACCTATGAAACAACCCTGCATGATCTGCACACGTACCCCAGAACCTAAAGTACAAAAAAAAATAGTTCAAGGGTAAGGTGAAACATGTGCCTGATGTTGTGGGTGTGTGCACATATACACAAACATGTACCCATCCCTGTGTACCCTTCACCTCACGAGCCATCCTCACCCTTAATCAGCCCTCCCCTTCTTTTTTTATACTGCCTTAAAGATGCTGAATTTTAAAAAAAATTAACAGGCATTTTTTAGAACAGTTTTAGGTTTCCAGAAAAATTGAACAGGCATTTTTTAGAACAGTTTTAGGTTTCCAGAAAAATCTAGAGTCTTCCTGCCTTCCTCATCATTTCCCTTATTTTAACATCTTGCATTAGAGTGATACCTTTATTGCCATTGAGCCAGTATTGATACATCATTATTATCTAAAATCAGTAGTTTACATTAGGGCTCATTCTTTGTGTTTTGCCTTCTGTGGGTTTTGCCCAATGTATAGTGACGTGTGCTGACCATTACAGCATCATACAGAGTAGTTCCACTGCCCTGAAACCCCAGTGCACCTCTTAAAATCCATCCCTCATCACCCGTGGCATCCACTGATCTTTCTCCGTAATCAGTCTCTGTAGTTTTGCTGTCTCCATGGTTTTGCCTTTTCTAGAATGTCATGTGGTTGGAATCATATAGTATGTAGCCTTTTCAGATTGGCTCATTTCACCTAGTAATATGCATATAAGTTTCCTCTCTTTTCGTGGCTTGATAGCTCATTTTTTTAAGCACTAAATAATACTCCAGTGTCTGGATGTACCACAGTTTGTTTATTCATTCATCTAAGGAAACATCTTGGTTGCTTCCAAGTTTAGGCATTATGAATACAGCTGCCATAGCATTTATGCACAGGTTTTTGTATGGACTTACGTTTTTTACTTATTTGGATAAATACCAATTAACAAAATTGTTGGCTCACAAGATGCTGGATTATAAAAGACGTCACTGGCGATATCTGGCACCTCCCAGAGCTCTAACAGACTTGATGTGTTTTTCCCAGGGATGATTACCATGAGGACGGGTTCTGCCAGCCTTACCGGGGAATTGCCTGTGCGCGCTTCATTGGCAACCGGACCATTTATGTGGACTCGCTGCAGATGCAGGGGGAGATTGAAAACAGAATCACAGGTAGGAGTTGCAGACCTTTCTTACAGGGGGATAAGCATATGCAGCCACTGTGTTTCATCAGTTAATGGCGTGGACAGTCCCTCTTCTATCTAATTTGTGGTAGAAAACCAGAGATCTTTTTTAGAAGTAGTTGCAGTTGCTAACATGATCTGCCCTAAAAGTGTTCCTGGCCTGTGTGTTTAAATTAGCAAGTATGGGATTTAACTCAACCGAACTGTGTGGGTCCAAAGCCCTGTCCTCACTGCAGTGCCAGGGCCTCCTGCCCCTGGCCTGCCACACTGGCACAGGCAGCCTCAGTGCCCCCACACTCCCTCTGCTTGACTTCTCATTCTGCACTTCCTGACTCTTCTATCCTCTCTGAGCCACTTTTGGTCCAAAGGCAGCCAGGCCTGATTGCAGCTGTGTGGGGGAAAGAGTTGGGTCATTGGTGGAAGGGACGCTGCAGTGAACACATACTTCATCAGTCCTGCGTTTCCAGAGAACAAAGCCAGGTCTTTGGGTACGTGATTCAGGGTCTGAGAAAGTGCACGTCATTTAGGAACTGGAGCTGCCCATCTTTGCTCTCTTTAGGACTTAACTTCTCTGATTGGCTGTCCCAGCTCCCAGCACACAACTCAAACACATTGATGGGGTCTGGAGTCCTCCTTCGGGGAGAGGCCTTGGATAGCAAGAAAATTAATTAGACAAAAGTCCTACAGAGCCCGCCATCTGCTGTACCTACTCTCCCCACAAACATCACATACACGTTTTCTCTGAAGACCCCACAAGAGCAAGAAACACCCTGTGTGGATGGCAGGTGCCCCAGCACCTTGGATTAGCTGGATCCTCTCCGTGGGTGTGGGAGGCTATGCTGCAGATTAGAATCAGTGGGCGATCTCTGATACCTGTGCTCCCAGGAGAGTGTGGTGGGGGCAAAGCGGGTGCAGGGCACTGACCTGGTAAGGGGCAACAATGAGATCTAAGGCAGAAACTCACCTCATGTCACAAGTTCTTCCAAGTTCAGGTCACTCTCAGACTAGAGAGTCCAAGGTTATGGTCACATGAGACTGCCTGACCCATGAGGCCAGGGCCAGGGTCCCATGCAAAGTGAAAGAGCCATCATGAGACACAGAGGAACCTGAAGGTGTCATTCTGCTCTAGCGGGAGGCGGTTTTGAAAATATGGGTACCTCTCACTATAAAAGCTTTCTTTGCCATTAAAGCAGGGCTTCTCAAATGTTTTCACTGAAGCATGAAGTGGAAAATCTGGAGTATACTTTACTTACTTTACACCATGACTTAGTTTACACATACAGGTATTTCACACAACTGACACTGGTTACAGGGAATAACTTTCACCCTTCATAAAAGTGGTGCACTTGGATTTTTCTCTTTGGTTTTATTTCATAAAAGAAAAAAGTGGCTGGGTGCAGTGGCACTCAGCCTGTAATCCCAGCACTTTGGGAGGCCAAGTCAGGTGAATCATAAGGTCAGGAATCAAAACCAGTCTGGCCGACATGGTGAAACCCTGTCTCTACTAAAAATACAAAAGATTAGCTGGTCGTGGTGGCAGGCGTCTATAATCCCAGCTACTCGGGAGGCTGAGGCAGGAGAATCTCTTGAACCCGGGAGGCAGAGGTTGCAGTGAGCCGAGATCATGCCACTGCACTCCAGCCTAGGTGACAGTTCGAGGCTCTGTCTCAAAAAATAAAGATAAAAATAAAAAAGTTACAGCCCTTAGTAGGAACCCTGCACTCTGACATCCTCCGGTCTGTTCTTACCTTGTTTAAGAATGTTAGTCACAGACTCCAGAATTATTAGACACTCCACTAATTGGCAAGCACTGATCCAGGTACAAGGCTTCCCTCAGTTATTTCTTCAGGAGTTATTTAAGGAATCAACTCGCATCCAAGCAGCCTGGTTTTATAGCAGCTTTTAGTGAAGAGTTTAGAATGAGAATTTCCTAGGTTGGTGGCTTTTCGAAAAGAATAAATTTGAAGTTGCTTTCAGCAGACTTGTGGTTTTGACATAAGCATAGTAATGAGTGCGTTGGGTGCAGTATTCTGCTGGAAAGCATGGTGTGACATTCAGGGTGTGGACAGAGACCAGGTGTTGCATCTTTTTGGTGCCTGGAATTGCACTTTCAGAAATAAGCAGTACATTCTCAGGGTGAGCAGAAGGAAGAAGAGAAATCCTATAAAGATCAGCAGAATCATCGTATCAGTGGATTAGCCCAAGAGAAGTGACAGCTTTGGCATTCTTAGACAATCTTTTCCTGCCTACGTTTTTGACAGTCCTTCATATAATCCCAAATCCGTAATGATGGGATTGAACTAGGTTGAAGCCTCCGTTCTTCCTCCAAATCTAAGACATCCTATACTGTAACCGTTTACCCTCTGTGTTCCTCCATTTAAATATTGGCCACAGGAACCCGGAGGATGGGAGGTGATGTGATGAGGATGGCAGTCACGACGGTGTGGCTGCTCCCACCCACTGACACCACCTATTACCAGACCCCTGGGCCCATTCACACTGAGGGCCACTTTATAGGCTCTGTGTTCACTCTCATTGCCCAGTGTGGGGTCTCAAATCACTCTGCAGGTACAGAAACAGGCCCAGAAAGGCGTGAGTGATACCACAAAGTGATCATGCATAAGGCTGTTCCCACACAGCTGCCCATCCCAGTCCTGGGTGGGTTCCCAGGAATGACTGGCAGCGGCAGTGCCACCTGCTGGCCAAACTTGGCATAGCATGTACACTCTTTCCTTGCCCCGAGGTCAAGGCCGGCAATCTTGACAACCTTCGTATAATTACCAAATAATCACCAAATCCATAATGATGGGATTGAACTGCATTCATGGGTGGAGCTAGGGCTGCTCAGGGACTAAATGCCAGCTTCTGGGTTTTCTTCCCTGTTGGAGGACATAGCCTCAGCTGGATGTGGGGGCAGAGGCGCCTGTCTGCCTCCGCTGTCCCCAAGCTCAATTGCTGTAAGCCAGCCTTCCACAGGTGAAAGTAGAGTAGTGAGCGCAGGGCAGGCCGATGCATTCCTTGGAGTCCTGCCTTGGCCAGCTTCTTCACCCCTACCAGTGGTGTAGCCGTGCACTCCAGGTGCAGCAGAGCTCCCCCAAACGCCCCCACCTTGTTCCGGAACTCACCCACCCTCTTGCCGCCACAGTGCAGCCTCTGACATATTGCCCTTAAAAAACAAACCGCCCCACAAAAGGGGGTCCTGAATTTTCATGTTACTCTGCTCCCCCTTACCGGTTGTAACGCGGCCTTCCTCCTGCTGTGCTGCTCCCACCCTCTTGGCTTTCTGCATTTTGTCAGCTGCCTCCTGTAGCTGCAGTTCACAGAGCTGAGCTGACTCCCTCCTCTGGGACAGCCTTCTTCCCAGACAGACCTGGGACATTGGGAAGCTCAGGCCTCATGACTGGACCTCTTGGCCTGCGCTCTCCACACACAGCGGGTCCTTGGGATCTGCTTTTGCATCTGAAGTCTGAACCTTCCTATCCTGGAAGAAGCACCTAGTGGAGTGAGCTGGGAGCCTAGTTTTCCTTCTTTCTTGTTCTGCTTCTCATATTTCTAAGTGAGGCCCTGGGCCAGGGACCTTCCGTGTCTGCTGCAAATCAGAGCATGTGATGGGCAGGCTGGCCTGCCGGCAGGGAGCCTCTCCAGAGTGGTGTGGTGGCTTGGGGCTGGGGATTCGGGGGTGGGGCAGGGCATCAGGGGGCTGAGAGGGCAATCTGGGATGCAGGCTGGGGGTGGGGACTGGATGAATGTCAGGGGCGTGAGGTGGGTCGACCGCTAACGCCAGTCTTCTGGGCTCTGCAGCGGCCTTCACCATGATCGGCACCTCTACGCACCTGTCAGACCAGTGCTCGCAGTTCGCCATCCCATCCTTCTGCCACTTCGTGTTCCCTCTGTGTGACGCGCGCTCCCGGGCACCCAAGCCGCGCGAGCTGTGTCGCGACGAGTGCGAGGTGCTGGAGAGCGACTTGTGCCGCCAGGAGTACACCATCGCCCGCTCCAACCCGCTCATCCTCATGCGGCTGCAGCTGCCCAAGTGTGAGGCGCTGCCCATGCCCGAGAGCCCTGATGCTGCCAACTGCATGCGCATCGGCATCCCGGCAGAGAGGCTGGGCCGCTGTGAGTGCCCGTGGGCCCGGGGTGGGACCAGTGGGGGCAGGGAGTGGGGGCCCTTGAAACGTGTATGGGGCAGCTGGTAAAGCTCAGGGAGCTCCATCTGTCCTGGCCGCAGCCCCGCAGAACCCCATTAGCAGCCGAGGGCCCCACAGCCCAGGCCTCCATTCCAGCAGGGCAGTAGGTGGGGCCTTGGAGCAGGGGATTTGGAGCCAGTCAGCCCCAGGCTCTCATTTGGGCTTGCACTGTGTCCAGCTGTCCCTCAGGACTTGACCTGAGTCCCTCCACCTGCTGGAGCCTGGAATTTCCCTTCTCTGAAGTGGGAAATGGCTCTTAGAGGAGTCAGGGTCAGCATGCACTCCGGCGCCAGGGGAGAATGCAGACTCTCAGCTCCTGCCGCATCCTCCTGAACTTGTAGAATCAGTCCCCAGATACCTGTTGGATCTGTAAGCTTGGAGGAGTGTGAGGCCCACGGAGATGCTGCAGGATTGGCCTGGTGGGCATCTGAGAAGAACCTGTCATGATCAGGCATTGCTAGGCAAGGACCCTGCACCTTTGCAGGCACCTTTTCACAGGTTCCTGCATCCTGGGACCTAAGGGATGAGCATGGTGGAGGGGCTCATCTGAGCCAAGGCTTGGATGTGGCCTGTTTGGGGTCTGCATGGGACGAAAGAGCATGCTTCCCATTGCCCTTCTTGCTGGCAGCAGAGCAGCCCCTGCCCTTTGGAGGCTTAGTAAACCCCAAGTTGTGAGCCCCAGCAGGGTGGCTGTGGCCATTCAGGGTGGCAGACAGACAGAGAGCTCTGCTGATGTCCCCAAGGAAAACCATTGGCTCACATCACTGCATCCATCAGGGCTGCTGCCTCCCTGAAGGGTGAGACCCAGGGAATGGGCCACCACCTGCCATGGCCCCAGGCCTCTATTTAGCATGATTGGTTAATCCAGGAATGGGCTGAACTCCTTACCAGGACAGCCAGAGCCTGGTCCCTGGGCCCACTGCCTGCAGAGGGCCCACAAACCCTCACTGTGATTCTGGGCAAGTTGCTAAGCTCTCATATCCTCATATTCCATGGGGATGACACCAGTACAAATCCGTGGGGCTGGAATGAAGGTCAAACGGGGCAATATTTAGGAAGGTGTTTTTTTGGTTGGTTTTGTTTTTTGTCAGACAGACTTTCACTCTGTCACCCAGGCTGGAGTGCAGTGAGTGGCACCATCTTGGCTCACTGCAACCTCCACCTCTCAGGTTCAAGCAATTCCCCTGCCTCAGCCTCCCGAGTACGTGGGACTACAGGCACGTGCCACCACACACTTGGCTAATTTTGTATTTTAGTAGAGACGGGGTTTCTCCATGTTGGCCAGGCTGGTCTCGAACTCCTGACCTCAAGCAATCCACTCGCCTCACCTTCCCTGAGCGCTGGGATTACAGGCATGAGCCACAGTGCCTAGCCAGGAAAGTTTAGTGCAGTGACTCACACATGGTACACACTACAGAAGTGTTCACCAAAGGCACACCCCAACCCCAGGGCTCCTCCATGGAGGTGAAAAAGGTGCCCTGAGGTGGAGGGGCCAGACTTGGGAGGTCACCCTTCTTGCCTGCGCAGTTGGCTTTCTTCCTAGAGCAAGTGATCCTGAGGCTGGAAATGACACCCTCTTCTGACGAGGTGGTGGTGTACAGGTTGTGGGTCGCAGAGATGGTTTTGGGGCTGTGGAATACTTCTCACGGGTTTCCTTCCCCATATATATCCCTGATGTGCTCTGCATTTAATTTGTGAGCTGACTTCATTAAGCCATTACTTCTAATGCCCTTTTCTGGTAAGTTAGGTAAAATCCTTGGATCTTTTGGAAATTCTAGTTTGGGCATGTGTAGGCAGAATGGTTTTCTTGTACCCTGGAGGTTTTTCTAACATGTTTTCCTCATTCAGACCATCAGTGCTATAACGGCTCAGGCACGGATTACAGAGGAACGGCAAGCACCACCAAGTCAGGGCATCAGTGCCAGCCATGGGCCCTGCAGCACCCCCACAGCCACCGCCTGTCCAGCACAGACTTCCCCGAGCTTGGAGGGGGGCACGCCTACTGCCGGAACCCCGGTGGCCAGATGGAGGGCCCCTGGTGCTTTACGCAGAATAAAAACGTACGCATGGAACTGTGTGACGTACCCTCGTGTAGTATGTATTCTCTCTCTCTTTTTTTAAATGTGTTGACTGTTGAGTGAACCTTGTGATGAGAATGTTCTGTCCTGACTTGGGTTGGGGTGCGCCTCTGTATCGTGGTCACCAGAACCCCCATCTCACCACAGTGACTATTTTAAATAAAGCTGCTGGGCCAGGCGCAGTGGCTCATGCCTATAATCCCAGCACTTTGGGTGGCCAAGGCGGGCAGATCACTTGAGGTCAGGAGTTCAAGACCAGCCTGGCCAACATGGTGAAACCCCATCTCTAGTAAAAATACAAAAATTAGCTCGGTGAGGTGGCACATGCCTGCCTGTAATCCCAGTACTCAAGAGGCTGAGGCAGGAGAATCACCTGAACCCAGGAAGTGGAGGTTGCAGTGAGCCAAGATTGCAGCACTGTGCTCCAGCCTGGGCAACAGAGTGAGACCCTGTCTCAAAAACAAACAGATAAATAAAGCAAGCTGTAGGTGATAATGAAAGTAACATCTGCATATTATAAGACATTTTAAAATATAGAAAAGTCTGAAGAATATTGTGGAGATCACGCCTAATTTAACCAGCAGTGACTCATTTGCACTTTGGCTCACGCTCTCCATCACTCGCTTTCCATGGATGGATGGTCCTGGGATAGTCACTTTCCATTTTGTTTCTCCGTTAACATTACAGGACAATGCAGCGGCTCACCACCTGTAATCCTAGTACTTGGGGAGGCCAAGACGGGTGGGTCTCTTGAGCCCAGGAGTTTGAAACCAGCCTGAGCAACACGGTAAAAACCCGTCTCTACAAAAAATACAAAAATTACCCAGGCGTGGCACCTGCAGTCCTACCTACTTGGGTGGTTGAAGCGGGAGGACTGCTTGAGCTCAGTAGTTCACAGCTGCAGTGAGCCGTGATGTTGCCACTCGCCTACAGCCTGGGCAGCAAAGCATTCCTTACTCCTTGCAAGGGTGTCTGTAATGGCATGAATACGGAAGCACGTGTAGTTGATGGTTCACAGCTTCGACAGTTCTCACCTCTTAGTCATGCACGGCTCACCAGTTGCAGGCAGCAGGATAACTGAGGCTGGGCTGGGAGCTAGAAGCAGTGATTGGTGAATAAGTGGGCACCTGCTGATAGAGAGCAGCCGGTGGAGCAAGGCTGCGCTCCTCGTGCACCTGGAGGCCTCCTCCTGGGGTGCAAGCCTGCGTGTCTCTACCCCGAACTGCAGGGAGTAAACACTGATACTGATGGCCTTTCTGATGTGTGAATTCAGTAGCTCCAAGTTTGGCATTGAGCTCCTCTGGCTCAGCTGGTCAGACACAAGTCTTCAAGAATGTGTTCATTATGGGAGAAAAATTTTAAGAATGGAATTATCAGTAGTTCAAATTGCACTGTAGGCACTCTGGAGCACTCCAGACCGTAGTTTTCTGCAAGGAAGAATGGCCTCGTCCCCTGTAAGGAACAAAAGCAGATTGTAGGATAGAACTGTGTTAGAGGTGCTTTTTTGTTCATTGTTTTGTCTCTGGCAAAAAGAAAATGAGTGACTTTTGTGTGTGAGCACACACAGGCACCTGACTTGTATGAGGTTTTGGAAAGATGCATATCAAACTTTTAGCAGTGATTTCCCCGGACCTACAAAAGTGACTTTTTTTTTTTTTTTGCAGTGAGTAGGAATTACTTTTGTAATTAAAAGTAAATCAAAACATGAAGAAAAGTATGATTTTGGACCTGTCAATTATTATTTTTGTTTTGAGACAGAGTCTTGCTCTGTTGCCCAGGCTGGAGTGCAATGGCGCAATCTCGGCTCACTGCAGCTTCCACCTCCCGGGTTCAAGCAATTCTCCTGCCTCAGCCTCCTGAATAGCTGGGATTACAAATGCCTGCCACCATGCCCAGCTAAATTTTGTATTTTTAGTAGAGATGGGGTTTCACCATGTTGACCAATTCTTAGAATCTTGTATTGCAGATTTGTACTTCGAGGGCATAAATGAAAGGATATTTATTGCAGACTCACTTGTGAGAGCTAAACACAAAACAGACTGTTGATCAGTAGGTCTGGATGGGATAGTTGGAGATGCCCGTACTGTGGAGTGGCATGCAGCTGTGGGGGACACGCACATCTGTCTGCTTCAGCATGAACTGTCATCCAAGAGATTTTATTCTGCCAAAAAGACAGGAGAAAATATGGATGACACAATTCTACTTAAAATGAAGTTCATTCAGGTCGGGTGTGGCAGGTCACACCTGTAATCCCAGCACTTTGGGAGGCTGAGGCAGGCGGATCACCTGAGGTCAGAGTTTGAGACCAGACTGGCCAACATGGTGAAACTCCATCTCTACTAAAGATACAAAAGTCAGCCAGGCATTGTGACGCGTGCCTGTAGTTCCAGCTACTCGGGAGGCTGAGACAGGAGAATCACTTCAACCCCAGGGACCGAGATTGCAGTGAACCGAGATCCCACCATTGTACTCCAGCCCAGGAGACAGAGCGAGACTCTGTCTCAAAAATAAATAAATAAATAAAGACTTCATCTCATAAATAAGTAAATAAACTCCGTCTCAAAAATAAATAAAATATAAAATGAAGTTCATTCAACATTTGATTTAAGAAAACCATATGGAACTACAGTGTCTATATGTCAGAATAGTTGAATATCAGTTCCATGTGGTTCAATCTAAAATACACATAAAATTAGGAGAACATGAAACGCAACCATTTATAGCCTTTGGGAAAGAGGGCTCTTAGAAACATTATCTTTTGAAAGGCCACATTTCTAGAATACTGCAGTATTTCCCAGTAAGCATGAGTCGTGTTTGGTAATGTTAAGCAGATGATAAAGGCAGGTGATAGTGTCGGTGTGAGCTCACACCTCTGACCTTGGTGTGAGAGGCCTGGACCCTCCTGCTAACCTTAATAATAAATGAACCAAACCCTAGTAAGGAAGAATGGACCGGCATCCCCGGTGCCCCTAAGACTTCTGGGACACCTGCCTTGGAGCCCTTTCGGAGGGGAAGCTGCTGGGTGGGTCAGAAGATAGTTTTGTTTGTGGTTTTACTTGCTTTCATCTTACTTTGGGGAGCAGGGGTGGGGCAAGGCTGGGTTTGGGACAAGGTGCTTTTTTCCTAAGGTGGCAATAGCATGTTCACTTTTAGAACTGAATGAACTGTTTTAAAGATGACACTGATCAGAAATCACTTGTTTGCTTCCAGATGGGAAGCCATTTGTCCCCTGGCCATGGGGCCTTCTAAGTCTGATAAGATTATTTGCAGGGTTAAGGAGGAAACAGAACTCCAGGGATGTGGGAAAGTGACTCTGTAGAGAACTCACCTTCCACCAGGCTTAGGGTCAGCCTCCTGAAACGTGCCGCTTGGTCTTACATTCAGTTGCTTTGACGTGCGCAAATTGCAGATTGCTTGGGGTTCATGCAGCCTGGGAGGAGCCAGCCCTGTGGGATGCCCGCTCAGAGCCTGAGGTCACCTCAGCCTGCCCGGTGTGCCCCCTGTGCCTTTCCGTAAATCCTGTAAAGGGAGACAAAGAGTTACTTTTCCCTGTGATAAAAAAATGCAGGGAAGGTAGCTGGAGGCCTTGACTGTTGATAGGTACCCCGTGCTTTCCAAGGATTCCTGTGCCCCTATGGTGTATTATATTGGGTCAGGTGCATGGACTGCCGGTGTGCCTTTAAATCTAGTGCATGTTGGATTATTAGTCTAAAAGAATCTGTCATCATTGGATAAAAACATGAAGAAAACATTAAAATGCTGAATGAGGAAAAGGATCGTGTCTAATCCCAGTACCAAGTTTCACGGACCTTGGACAAGGGTCTCCAGTGAATTTCATCAAGCTATCTGGGGAGACCTTTGATAAAAGCAAAATTGGGCAGAGCGCCTGCCTCTGATGATATTCAAACATCAGGAACAGAGAGTGGATGTGATCACTATAAATATTAAGATCTTTAGAGTCCATTTACTTTGTATGCTGCATATTCCAGTTTGTTTCCAGGTTGGGCGGTTTTGGGTTGTATTTCCTCAGGATGCAGCGCGGTGTGTGGTTTTTGGTGCATCGTGTTTTTTTGGGTGTGGGATGCCCTTTTACCCCGTTGTGTAACTTGGGTGATTACCCATGTGCCTGTAAAGATTGTGGCTGGAGGTTGAGAATGGGTTGGTAGGGAACTTACAGTTGAAAAGGGGATGTTTTCTGAAAAAATCACAAAAGCCATGTTGTTCACAGGTCCCCGAGACAGCAGCAAGATGGGGATTCTGTACATCTTGGTCCCCAGCATCGCGATTCCACTGGTCATTGCTTGCCTTTTCTTCTTGGTCTGCATGTGCCGGAATAAGCAAAAGGCATCTGCATCCATGCCGCAGCGGCGACAGCTGATGGCCTCACCCAGCCAAGACATGGAAATGCCCCTCATTAACCAGCACAAACAGGTCTCCGTGCTTACGTATTCCACTCGGGTTGCTCTTCCAGGTTTAATCCTCAGGAGTTGTTTCCCCGCCAGTAAATGTCTTAATTTACTTGGTACATAACACATAATTCTTTTAAACTCCTCTTTGTTTTGCCTTTTTTTCTGTAAACTAGATCAGGACATGTGTGCCTTAGAAAATAAATGGCAGGTATGTTGGGAATTCACTGCCCCAGAGTCCATGGGGCTCCCTCTGCCTGGACCATGCTGCCCCTGTGGGCCCCAGCGGGCATCCACACTGTCTGGGTACCTCAGCTGTGCCCAGAGGACCACACAAGAAAAAGAGGGCTCTAATGCCTCCCACAGTTTTTCTTGTCACTTTAGGGTTAGGTTGTTATGCTTTAACAGGGAAGGATGGAAGAATAGCCCTAAAATGGGAGTAGACAGACAGGCTACCACTAAAAGGCCACCCTCATCCCAGAGCCGCCTTAGCTGGGGGTGGGGGCAGTGAAATACAACAGATGTGAATATGTGCTGCAGCCTCTCCAGCTTTTGTTGTAAAAGGGCATTTACATTCATTTGCAGCCTTAGGGAACATCATTCCCAGCTGACTTTGCAAGGGCTCTTCAAGGTGTCCAGGAGGGAGTTGATGCACTTGGCTCTTCAGTCGCAGAGTCGGTGAGGGTTTGCTGTAGCCAGGGTCTGACCAGTGAGGAAGGCACAGAGCCCCTGGGGCTTGCGTGGAGGCCTAGGAGCCTCCAGGAAGGATGAGGGATGGCCACACAGGAGGAGCCCGCGTCATAGAGGCTGAGAGAGATGCAGGGTTCTGAGGGGGCCCATCATTTGTGGAGTCCTTCCAAAAACATGTTTAACTGAGACGTTAGTCAAGCAGCCCATATTACATGCCCACTGAAGGAACCTCTGTAGAACAACTGGCCTGAACTCTGAAAGTGACAAACTTGCCAAGACAACAATGTCCTGGGAAAGCCAGCGTGGGATTCCTGAGAAAAAGACATCGCATCTCACATCATGTGGTGGCACACATGAGGGGTAGAGGGGACCCGGTTAAGGTGCATTCAGGGCAGCCCCAGGACAGCTGGTGCCTGGTGTGTGTGTGTGTGTCCCCACGTGTGTCCACAGGTGCACTAGTGGAAAGGAAGTAACCTCGGCATCAGAGCCGTATTTCAGATTAACCAGGAGCCGTGGGCGGGCAGGCAAAGGCTGGGTGGGCAGAACCAGCGGGTCTTCTGCAAGGCCCTTCCAGCTGTGGCCACACGGGGCTCCTCCCAGCTGCCTTCCACCATCCTCCAGGGCTTCGGTAACAGCAAAGTTTCACATGGGGCTTTTCTTCTTGACAGGCCAAACTCAAAGAGATCAGCCTGTCTGCAGTGAGGTTCATGGAGGAGCTGGGAGAGGACCGGTTCGGGAAAGTCTACAAAGGCCACCTGTTGGGTCCTGCCCCGGGGGAGCAGACCCAGGCCGTGGCCATCAAAACGCTGAAGGACAAAGCAGACGGGCCCCTGCGGGAGGAGTTCCGGCATGAGGCCATGCTGCGAGCGCGGCTGCAACACCCCAACATCGTCTGCCTGCTGGGTGTCGTGACCAAGGAGCAGCCCCTGAGCATGATCTTCAGCTACTGTTCGCACGGCGACCTCCACGAGTTCCTGGTCATGCGCTCGCCGCACTCAGACGTGGGCAGCGCCGACGATGACCGCACAGTCAAGTCCGCCCTGGAGTCCCCAGACTTCGTGCTTTTGGTGGCGCAGATTGCGGCAGGGATGGAGTACCTGTCCAGCCACCATGTGGTTCACAAGGACCTGGCCACCCGCAACGTGCTGGTGTATGACAAGCTGACCGTGAAGATCTCAGACCTGGGCCTCTTCCGAGAGGTGTATGCCGCCGATTACTACAAGCTGCTGGGGAACTCGCTGCTGCCCATCCGCTGGATGGCCCCCGAGGCCATCACGTACGGGAAGTTCTCCATCGACTCGGATATCTGGTCCTATGGCGTGGTCCTATGGGAGGTCTTCAGCTACGGGCTGCAGCCCTACTGTGGATACTCCAACCAGGACGTGGTGGAGATGATCCGGAACCGGCAGGTGCTGCCCTGCCCCGACGACTGTCCCGCCTGGGTGTACGCCCTCATGATTGAGTGCTGGAATGAGTTCCCCAGCCGGCGGCCCCGCTTCAAGGACATCCACAGCCGGCTCCGAGCCTGGGGCAACCTTTCCAACTACAACAGCTCGGCGCAAACCTCGGGGGCCAGCAACACTACGCAGACCAGCTCCCTGAGCACCAGCCCAGTGAGCAATGTGAGCAATGCCCGCTATGTGGGACCCAAGCAGAAGGCCCCACCCTTCCCCCAGCCCCAGTTCATGCCCATGAAGGGCCAGATCAGACCCATGGTGCCCCCACCACAGCTCTACATCCCTGTCAACGGCTACCAGCCGGTGCCGGCCTATGGGGCCTACCTGCCCAACTTCTACCCAGTGCAGATCCCAATGCAGATGGCCCCGCAGCAGGTGCCTCCTCAGATGCTCCCCAAGCCCAGTTCGCACCACAGCGGCAGTGGCTCCAGCAGCACGGGCTATGTCACCACAGCCCCCTCGAACACCTCCATGGCAGACAGGGCAGCCCTGCTCTCAGAGGGCACCAAGGACTCACAGAACGCCCCAGAAGATGGAACCCAGATCCCCGTGCAGGAAGCGGAGGAGGAGAAGGAATGCTCTGTCCCAGAGACTGAACTGCTGGGAGACAGTGACACTCTGCAGGTGGACGAGGCCCAAGTCCAGCTGGAAGCTTGAGTGGCACCTGGGCCCAGGGTTTGGGACAGAAGCCCCACTGATACTCCACAGGGACCTCAGTCACCTTTGAGAAGACAGCATACCCAGCAGTCAGGAGGGCCCACAGACCAGCGAGCTGGTTTTGCAGACTGGGTGAGGTGGAGTCCTGCTCCTCTCTGTCCTCCGACACAGAGAGCTGCCCTGCCTAAGAGCACCCGAGCCAGGCAGGGGGCCTGGCAGTACAACATCCTGGGGAGCAGGACACATGGCCACCCTGGGGGCTGCTTGCATTGATTCTGGTGGTAGACTGGTAGTGAGCACCACATGCCTTGCAAGAAAATAGGTGGCACCTTCACGCCGTATCGTATGTGGAGTGAATATTTCAAACGTTGGGAATGAGGACCTGCAAAAGGCAGCAAGGAGGCACCTCAGGTTTTGAGGTTCCCTGCGACCGGTCTGTTGGTTTGAGGATGCGGGGGCTCCATTTCTGCTGCCTCCCTGCCAAGAATATTCTCTCCTTAGCAGCCAAAGATTTGCTGGAACCGAGGCTACCCTCTGCTGCCTGTTGGGGTCGGAAGACAAGGGCTCCTGAAAGGAGAGTTCCTGAGATATAACAAAATGTGTGCCTTTAAAGAATCCATCAGCTTTGTATTTGGTGAAACAGTTTTAATTATACTGCATGTGTATTTTGCCCACTTTTTGGGAATTCAAGGGAAAGTGTTTCTTGGGTTTGGAATGTTCAGAGGAAGCAATATTGTACAGAACACAGTATTGTTATTTTTTTTTAAGAATCATGTACAGACCTTAAATGTAATTTATGTTTTTAATATGTCATTTTCATTGAAGTATTGTGATCTTAAGATAATGACTTTAGTAATTTAACTGTTTACATTACCCACGTTGGGATCCAGTTGGTCTTGGTTTGCTTGGCTTTGTACCACGTGCACATGAAGTTCGTTCATTTTAGAGCCCCCGTTACACATAGACCCGCAGGCAGCGGTCTGTATCCTGCACACATTTGTAAATCCCACACCTGGTGTATCCAATAAAGTGAAACAAAGCATTTGGTTGGCTCTCTTGCAGGGCGTTAAGGACGTGAGGCACTGGGAGGCATGCTGGATGCCAGAGATGCCGAATGGTGATGGTTTGGGCATAGCTCTTTCTGTGGATTTGGGAGGCCTGCCCAAGCCAGGGTCCCCATGCTAATGGGGATATCCCTTGGCAGATACATGATGGAACTAAATCCATGGCTTCTCTCTGTTAAGGCCTCAAAGGCAGATTAGTTAATTGCAGGTGGTGTGAAGATGGTCTTTGGTTTTAAACCTGCCCTCTCCTGAGATCCCAGAGCCCCTGACATTTCTAAACCTGGAGCCTGGCACATCCTGGGGCCCTGGAGCAGGGCTGACTTCAAGGGAGGGGGAAAAAGAGAATGGGCCTCCTTCATGGGGTGCCTGCATTCCGGGCTCCATCTGCAGTGTAGTTGGCTGGGCCAAGGTATACCTGGGTCAGAGCACAGCTGGGACATGGTCACTCGGGGAGCAGTGGCTTCAGAGCTACCAGTATTACTGGCGTAGGGAGAGAGGGCACAGAGACCCAGGTATAACAAGTCCCCTCACCTGGAGTAGATCCCACATAGTAGGTCACCAAACTAACCATGTCGACCTGAACTTTATCTTGTCACCGGGGAGAAAAGGTAACATCTTTTTCTAACCCACCGCAAGGCCCATGGCTGAGACCTCTATAACAAAAGACAGCCTAACGAGAAAAGCCTCAGGAGTGACCCAAAGAAGCAGGGAAGCCTGTGTATTTGCCTACTAAGTTTGGTGGAGTGGACAGGCTTGCAGAAGTGTGATTGGACAGTGATGTGACCAATGGCAATAGACCAGGGTGGGGTGGGGCAGGGGCAGGTGTGGGGCTTGTAAGGTTTGTTTGTTCAAATTTTCTTTTTTCTTGAGACAGAGTCTCACTCTGTCACCAGGCGCCAAGCTGAAGTGCAGTGGCACAATCTCAGCTCACTGCAACCTTCGCCTCCTGGGTTCAAGCAATTCTCCTGTCTCAGCCTCCCGAGTAGCTGGGATTACAGGCACGTGCCACCATGCCCAGCTAATTTTTATATTTTTAGTAGAGATGGGTTTTCACCATATTGGCCAGGATGGTCTTGATCTCTTCGCCTCATGATTCGCCCGCCTTGGCCTCCCAAAGTGCTGGGATTACAGGCTTGAACCACCACACCCGACCCAGATTGCTTTCTTTCTCTGTATCTTCAGAGATAAAAAGCTTCCCTGCCTCCAGGTACAGTGGGCACCTCTGGAATGAGAGTTTTATGGCCTTTCTGGGAGGAGAAGGGTGGGAGAAGGTCAGAGAGACCTTCCTGATTCTGTGGCTTCCTCAAGTGCCAGGCGCCACGTTTTGGGGATCATGTCCTGATCCCATCACTGACCTCCCCTGGCTCCTTAGTAGCACTGCTCACAGATTCACCCACACACAAACAAATACAGTGTTCTAATGTGCATCCTAAAACGTCAGGTAGACCCTCCCTTCTCAGCAGAAGGAAGTAATATGATTAGAGTAAGGATTTGGAGCACCTCTCCGGGCCAGTGGGGTCTGGATTGAACAGTAAAGAAGCTTGCGGTGAAATGGAGTTACTTCTCATTTCCACTGATCTGAAAAAGAAACTTACTTTATCTCTTACTAGGTACACCTGATGGTTTAACTGTTCTAGCCAGACAGTGAAAAACGGGAAATGGCCCTGTGGCTGCTTTCTCCACAAGCACAGTCAGTTGACCATCACCCTGAGCTGCCAGAATTAACCCCCAGGCAACTGACAGTGTCACAGAGCTACAGCAGCAGATTCTGCAGAACAACGTGGCAGGTTTATTTTTGCAGAGTTGGGGAGATTTTGGTTTGGGGGATTTTGAACATCTCTGTGCGTTACCATCAGTCTAATTGTAAAACTGTGATGCATCATAAGGAATTACTTAGTTTTTAAAGTTCCTGCTTTTGTACCAGAACGAGCATAGAAAATCAACATCAAGAGAAAAGTATGCCAGATTGCAGGATCTATATTGCCGGTGGCCACAGAGGACTCATGTCTCCCCAACACATGGCCCCGAAAGGAGAGTGTCATGACCTTTTATGCCACCTCCTGGGCGGGGGTGAGGGCGAGGGCCTTCAGATATTCTGAGAGCCAGTGGACTTTGAACATTCTGTAAACCACCTCGTGGACAGGGGTGAGGGCCAGGGACTTCGCACATTCCAAGGGCCAGGGGACTTTAGACATTCCGATTGTTACTTAAGTGGTTCACAGAATTCAAGATAAGCATTAGTTTACACATTGTCTGGATAGGGTGGAAATTACAGGCTTTACTTATTACAGTCGCAGGGGCCAAGATGGTGTGGGTCTGGACTGCTTGCCTGTCACATTAGGGTCACAGAGAGCAGTTTCAACAGAAAGCTGAGGTATGGCTGAGGTGTGCAGTCTATGGGGCTTTTACCATGTCACACAGCAATTGAATAATAGTGACTTAGTTGGGATATTCCAGAACTGAGATGCACAATTCAGACAAATCACTAGTAACGTGCCTGTCCTTGTTCATACCCACACAACAGGGAGGTTTTCACAGCTATTAGGTCACTTAAACATGATTTTTAATCCAGCCACATGAAGTCACAAATGCCTTTGCACTGCTTACATTTTTTTAATAATCATTGTTGTGTGTCTGAGCACTGGATATATTTTTCTCTACTAATTTAAGGTGTGTGATTAACTACTCCAGTATACCAGAGCTCCCAACTAACTCAGGAAAATGAGGAAACCTCTTGTTTTCCCGAGTTAGTTGGGAGCTCTGTTACACTGGAAACACTGTTTAAACATTCACCTCAGGTTTCCTTTAGCCTCACAATTCCACACTGATAGCTATTTTTGGACAGTATGTGATCAGATGTCTGAAATCTTGTACAGGCATTGGTTCTGTGTGTTTCCTATGCGAACATCTAAAATCCTTTTCGAGATGAACTTTGAAAAGGGGACTGTGTCAAAGTAAATGTGCTTCAAAGTGAGATCTCTGATTCTCTCCTGGCCACAGCCAGTCCCCCTGAACCGATCGATTCACCTCTCACCCCACACACTTTGCTCCACATTGTTCCCCAAAGGAGTAGAGATTGCAAGTATTTCTTGGCCTGGCTCTTAGTGGGTGCCCAATAATTGGCTCTTGAAATAAAAGAATAATGTTCTGCTTAGGCAGAATAGGCCTAGATGTAGGTTTACCTGATACCAGCTGCAAAGGACATAGCCTCATCGTCTTTACGGTGTTATGTTACCTTTTCATTTATCAATTATTGAATAGTTAACTAGTCCTATAATTTTTTTTTTGAGATGGAGTCTTGTAGACCAGGCTGGAGTACAGTGGTGTGACAATCTCTGTCTCCTAGGTTGAAGCGATTCTCCTGCCTCACCCTCCTGAGTAGCTGGGACTACAGGTGCACACCACCATGCCTGGCTAATTTTTGTATTTTTAGTAGAGACAGGGTTTCACTATGTTGGCCAGGCTGGTCTCCAACTCCTGACCTCGTGTTACACCCGCTTCAGCCTCCCAAAGTGCTGGGATTACAGGCATGAGCCACCGCACCTGGCCAACTAGTCCTACAGTTTAAAGAACTAAGGGAAGTTCCATTTCTCATTTGCCCAGATGTCCCTCCCCCCTCCCCCCTCCCCACTACAAGAAACTGCTGTTACCTGATTCTGAGGGATCATTCTTGAGTTCCTTTAAACATATTTAAGTCAACATGCATGCATGTTCTTCTAGTTCTTCCTTCGACTTTTTTACACAAGTGGTAACCTTCTCCACAACTTTTCTGCCTTGCTCTTTTCACTGGATAGTGTTTCTTACTGACCTCAGTCTGTCAGTGGTAGGGAGCTCTGGTTCGTTGGTATTCTGTGGTAGGAGTGGAGGGAACTTGGTTGGACCCATTGTTTACTGCTGCTGTGGAGTCTGCAGTCGTGCCTGCTGACACAGCCCCAGAGTGGCTTTGCTGGGGAATGAGCTGCCAGTCGCCAGTGCCACAGTGCTCATTGTGGGATCAGCCAGTACACACAGCCACCAAGACACCCGAGAGTGCTGGCTCCCCCAGCCCTGAAGTGCTGTTGAAATCCCCACCCAAAGCAGCTGCCTAAGGAGGGCCTGGGGACACATGGCTCAGCTCTAATGCATGCTTTTAAAAAGAACAAGTTGTCATCTTAAGCTCATTCTTTTTTATGCTAATTTGTCCTGTTCTTCCTCTTTCTCAGTCAGGTTTTTAGTGAAAATGTTGCCCAGAGGCAGAGATATGTATCAAACCATCCACTGGGCATGGAAGGCCCTTGGGCATCTGCAAGTACCCAGCGGAGGGACCAGAAGAAAGTGACTAGATCTCTGGAACTCTGGAAGCCACCTATCACACCCTTCTAGGATGGCAGCTACAAGACTGCCCCACACCCAGGATGACAGCTACTGTACCCCCAGGATAGCAACTTTAACACCCCCAGGATGGCAACATCTCCCCCAGGATAACAACTACATCCCCCTCAGCATGTCAACTAAAAACCCCCAGGATGGCAGCTACAACCCCCCCCAAGGATAGCAGCTACAACCCCCAAGGATGGCAACTACATACTCTCCTGGGACAGCAGCTACATCCTCCAGGATAGCAGTTATACCCTGCCCCAGGATGGCAGCTACAACCCTATTAACCTATTTTTACATTCTACTATCCATAATCATTTGATTTTTATTTTCCGGTTTTGAGTTATGATTAGTAATACTGCTATACACTTTCTTGCATGTGCCTTTTGATAAGCATATAAACATATTTATGTTGGGATTTTACCAAGGAATGAAATGTCTAGGTCATTGAGAATGCCATTTTCAGAGATATTGCCAGAGTCTTCGCAAAGGACGCAATGTCATGGGATTTGCCTCCAGGAATAGTACCAGTTTCTCATGATGAGGATCCATGAAAAATTCCCTTCTGGCTCTGGCAAGGAGAGGGAAAAAGTAATGACTGTAAAACAGACTCAGCTTTTTTTCTTCATAGTGAAGTCCCGATCTCCAGAGGAAAATAACCTTACTAGAGCCTTATCCTACTTAGGTGAAAGCATTCACACCGCTCCAGCCCCTCTTACTTTCGTCTCATATAAGTGAGGAAACCCTCTATCACTGGAAAAACATCTACAAATATCAAATCCAAGAAACACAGAATTATTTTTATTTTTATTTTTTTAAGATGGAGTTTCGCTCATTACCCAGGTTGGAGTGCAATGGCACGATCTCGGCTCACCGCAACCTCCACCTCCTGGGTTCAGGCAATTCTCCTGCCTCAGCCTCCAGAGTAGCTGTGATTACAGGCACGCGCCACCATGCCCAGCTAACTTTTTGTATTTTTAGTAGCGACGGGGTTTCATCATGTTGACCACGATGGCCTCGATCTCTTGACCTCGTGATCCACCTGCCTCGGCCTCCCAAAGTGCTGGGATTATAGGCTTAAGCCACCACGCCCAGCTGAAACACAGAATTATTACAAGATTGAGATTTGCAAATAAACTTCGCTAATTTTTACACTTCCCAGCACTTTGCCACCACACTAAAAGCTCCAGTATAATAACAGTGGATTATGGCTGAAAGAGCTGCAACATGTGTATTCTTTTGAGTAATAGAAGCTAGGGAAGCACAAAGTCAAGAAGGGAGAAATTGGCAGAGATCCTAGGGGAACTTGAAGCATCAGATACCTATGACTGTACCCAACATAAACACAAATGAACATAAACCTTCACACTAAAGGACTGTTTAACTCAGTTCCACTTCAGCACGTCTGGCTTTTCACAAAACATTGCCAGGCATGCCAAAAAGATAAGAAAAACACAATCTAAAGACACAAAGCAAGAAATTGAACCACATGTTGGAATTATTGTACAGGGCATTTTAAGTAATCATGACCCATATGGTGGTGGCACTAATGGAAAATGTAGAACACTTGCAAGAACAGATGGACAACGTAAGGAAACAAATTCTAAGAATCAAAGATCAAAACTAATTAAATTGAACACTTTGTGCAGTTTATTGTATGCCAATTATACCTCATTAAAAAGCTCTTTTAAAAAATATATTGTTTATGAAAAATACAAAACAATTTTAAAATTTTTGGGGGGGAAATGATTTTATTACTGGTGTTGCTTAGAAATGTTGGGGTATGGTGGTGGTAAGGGAAAACACTGGCATTTATTCAGTTTTGTTCTTGTTTTAAAATTGTCCACATACAATGCGCCTCTTTTATTACCTACTTGGCAGATGAACCATTTCAACTGCCCTGCCTTTGGTAGATCCCTTCTCTACCACAAGTTTCTTAGGGAAAAAACGGTTTAATTAATGCTGGGTTTGTGGCATCTGTATTATTTTCCTATGCTGCTGTAACAAATTACAAAAATATTGCCACAAAACAAATTGATTATCATGTACTTCTAGAGAGTAGAGGTCTGAGCTGGATGTACTGGACTAACATCAAGTGTTAAGAGTGCTACATTCCTTCTTCGGGGCTGGGGAATGATCCGTTTGACTCTTTCAGTTTCCAGGAGCCATCTGAAATCCTGGGATCCTGGCCCTTTCTTCCATCTTCAAAGCCAGCAGTGTGGCATCTTCAAATCTCTGAATTTGGCCCTCTGCTTCCCTCCTCCATGTGAAAGAACCCTTTTCACTGTATTGGGCACATCTGGATAATTCAGAAAATCACCCATTTCCAAAATCAACTAATTAGCAACTTCAATTATTTTAAGTTTTTTTATAGATTCTGGATATTAGTCCTTTGTTAGATGCATAGTTTGCATATATTTTCTCCCATTCACTAGGTTGTCCATTTACTCTTGAAAATGTCTTTGCTGTACAAATGTCTTTGGTTTAATTAGGGCCTATTTGTCTATATTTGTTTTTGTTGCATTTGCTTTTGAGGTCTTAGTCATAAATTCTTTGCCTAGGTCAAGGTCCTCAAGAGTGTTTCTTAGGTTTCATTTAAAGATTTTTATAGTTTCACTCTTATATTTAATTATTTAATCCACCTTGAGATAATTTTTGTATATTGTGAAAGATAAGGATCCAGTTGCATACTACTGCACATGGCTATTCAATTTTCCCAGCACCATCTATTGAATAGGGTGTCTTTTCCTTATTGTATTTGTTGACTCTGCCAAAGATCAGATGGTTTTTATTGTTGATGTGTGGCTTTATTTCTGTGTTCTCTATTCTGTCCCATTGGTCTATGTGTTTGTTTTGTACCAGCACCATGCTGCTTTGGTTATTATAACCTTATAGTAGAATTTGAGCTCAGGCAGTGGGATGTCTCCACCTTTGTTCCTTTTGCTTAACATTGCTTTGGCTATTCAGGCTATTTTCTGGTTCCATATAATTTTTTTTTTTTTTTTTTTTTTTTAGACGGAGTCATGCACTGTTGCCTGGGCTAGAGTGCAATGGTGCGATCTTAGCTCACTGCAAGCTCCACCTCCCAGGTTCAAGCAATTCTCCTGCCTCAGCTTCACGAGTAGCTGGGATTACAGGCACCCACCACCACACCTGGCTAATGTTTTGTATTTTAATTAGAGATAGGTTTTCACTACATTGGCTAGGCTGGAACTCCTGACCTTGTGATCCACCATCCTTGGCCTCCCAAAGTGCTAGTTCCATATGAATTTTAAGATGGTTCCTTTTTTCTAATTCTGAGAAGAATGGTGTTGGTAGTTTAATAGGAGCAACATTGAATCTATAGATTGCTTTGGACAATATGGTCATTTTAGTAATATTGATTCTCCTAATCCATCAGAATAGGGTGATTTTTCATTTGGTTTTGTGGTCCACAATTTATTACATCAGTGTTTTGTGGTTCTCCTTGTAAAGATATTTCACCTCCTGGCTAAATGCATTCCCAGGTATTTTATTTTTTGGGTGTATTCCCACAATTTAGACAACTTTGTTGAGAGGGATCAATTTCTTCAAAGCCATGAACTATAAAAACTCACACAAAGAGAAATACATAATCTGAATAGGCATAAAGCTATGAGAGAAAATGACCTAAAATTTACTCTTCCAAAATAGGGGCACAAGGCGCAGAAGTGTTCCCTGGTGAACGCTCCCAAATATTTAAGAAATAAACACAAATTATCTTTTATCTCTTCTAAGAACCAGGAGCAGAAGGACAACTTCTTAACTCATATAAAAGCCAAATAAACTTATTACAAAAAGGAAAACTATAGAGCCATCTCTCATGTACACATACTCAAAAATTCTTCAGTAAAATATTAGCAAATCAAATTTCACAACATATTTTAAAATATACACCATGACAAAGGTCAATTTACTCCATGTTTACATGGCTGCTTCAATATTTGAAAATCAGTCAGTATAATCCATATCAATAGTCTAAAAAAGAAAAATTATGTAATAATATCAATTAATGCATAAAATGCATTTGACAGTATCCAACACCCATTTATGATAAAACTCTCAAAAGACTAGGAATACAAGCAAACTTTCTCAACATGGTAAATAACATTCACACAAAGTCTCCAGGTAACATATTTAATGGCAAGAAAGTGGGTGCTTCACCACTTTTGGGAACATGGGAAGAATGTTCTTTCTCACCACATCAGTTCAACATCATACTGGAAGCTGTAGCTAGTGCAGTAAGACAGTTTTAAAAAATAGGAGTTATATAGATTGAAAAAGAATAAATAAAACAATCTTTGAAAGTAATATGATTACCTATGCAGAAAAGTTCCCAAAGTCAATTAAAAAAAAGGATGTCACTAGTATGTTATACACTGATAACAAACTTGTATTATCAAACTATACTATAAAAACTACTTTCCTATATACCAGTCAGGAATAATTGGCATTTGAAATTTAAAAATATGATTTACAATAGCACCAAGAAAAATGAAATACTTAAGTATGGGTCTACCAAAATGTGTGCAGTGTGTAAATACTGAAAACTACGAACTCTGATGAAACAAATCAAAGATGACCTATATAAATGGAGAAATAATTATTTGTTCATGGACTAGAAGACTTAATATTGTAAGATGTCAATACATCAATAAGTTCAAATAATTTTTTAAAATTAAGTAAATGGATTATGTCAGATGGTCAGAGGCAGGTTTTTCACTGTTGGAATAATTGTTTACAGAAAAGCACAGTGAGCACGCTGAAATGTTATATATAATAATGAATTAAAATTGGAGATATCAGTATGAACTCCTGTCTTGCTTAATATAGAGTCAGATGGTTACATATCCAAATATGTTTAGGTATATCTATGTAAGAAGAAGATACCAAATTATCCTTAAACAATCACTTCATGAGCATTTCAGTTACTCGATGTCCTCAATGACACTTGGCTTTGTCTCTTTAACTTTGTTTGATTGGATAATTAAAATTTGTCCTTTAGAGTTGTTTCAGCACTCTATATATTCTGGTTATTAATCTCTTGTCATATGGGTGGGTGGTTTGCAAGTATTTTGTCCCATCTTAGGTTATCTCTTAACTTTGTTGATTGTTTCTTTTGCTGTGCAGAAGCTTTTGAAGTTTATATGATTCCCTTTATTTTGCTTTGGTTGCCTGAGCTTGTGGCATTATTACTCAAAAAACTTTTGTCCAGCCTAATGTCCTAGAGATTTTCCCCAAAGCTTTTTTATAAGTTGTTTTATAAGTTGAGGTCTTATACTTAATTATACAACTGATTTTGATTTGTTTTTATTTTTTTTTTTGAGATGGAGTTTCGCTCTTGTTTACCCAGACTGGAGTGCAATGGCGCAATCTCGACTCACCACAACCTCCGCCTCCTGGGTTCAGGCAATTCGCCTGCTTCAGCCTCCTGAGTAGCTGGGATTACAGGCACGCGCCACCATGCCCAGCTAATTTTTGTATTTGTAGTAGAGACGGGGTTTCACCATGTTGACCAGAATGGTCTCGATCTCTCAACCTTGTGATCCACCTGCCTCGGCCTCCCAAAGTGCTGGGATTACAGGCGTGACCCACCCCGCCCGGTCAACTGAGTGAGTTTAAACGGGAGCGCGGGGCCGGGCACGGTGGCTCAAGCCTGTAATCCCAGGACTATGGGAGGCTGAGGCAGGTGGATCACGAGGTCGAGAGATCGAGACCATCCTGGTCAACATGGTAAAACCCCGTCTCTACTACAAATACAAAACATTAGCTGGGCATAGTGGCGCGTGCCTGTAATCTCAGCTACTCAGGAGGCTGAGGCAGGAGAATTGCCTGAACCCAGGAGGCGGAGGTTGTGGTGAGCTGAGATCGCGCCACTGCACTCCAGCCTGGGTAAACAAGAGCGAAACTCCGTCTCTGAAAAACAACAACAACAACAACAACAAAAAAGCCGGGCAGGGTGGCTCATGTCTGTAATCCCAGCACTTTGGAACGCTGAGGCGGGTGAATCACCAGGTCAAGAGATCGAGACCATCTTGCTCAATATGCTAAAACTCCGTCTCTACTAAAAATACAAAAAAATTAGCTGGGCATAGTGGCGTGCCTGTAATCCCACCTGCTCAGGAGGCTGAGGCAGGAGAAGTGCCTGAACCCAGGAGGCGGGGGTTCCCTCGAGCCGAGATCGCACCATTGCACTCCAGCCTGGGTAAAGAAAAGCGAAACTCCATCTTGAAAAATAAATAAAAAATAATTAAAAAAAATAAGAGCCCAGCGCGATGGCTCACACCTGTAATCCCAGCACTTTGGGAGGCCAAGGCAAGTGGATCACCAGGTCCAGAGATGGAGACCATCCTGGTCAACATGGAGAAACCACGTCTCTACTAAAAATACAAAAAATTAGCTGGGGATAGTGGCGCGTGCCTGTAATCCCAGCTGCTCAGGAGGCTGAGGCAGGAGAATTGCATGAACCCAGGAGGCGGAGGTCGCGGTGCGCCCAGATCGCACCATTGCAATCCAGCCTGGGTAAACAAGAGCGATAATCCGTCTCAAAAACAAACAAACAAACAAACAAAACAAAACAAAACAAAAACACGCCGGGCGTGGTGGCTCACGTCTGTAGTCCCAGCACTTTGGGACGCCGAGGCGGGTGAGTCACGAGGTCAAGAGATCGAGACCATCTTGCTCAATATGCTAAAACCCCGACTCTACTAAAAATCCAAAAAATTAGCTGGGCATAGTGGCGCGTGCCTGTACTCCCAGCTGCTCAGGAGGCTGAGGCAGGAGAAGTGCCTGAACCCAGGAGGTGGGGGTTCCCTCGAGCCGAGATTGCGCCATTGTACGCCAGCCTGGGTAAACAAGAACGAAACTCCGTCTCAAAAAAAAAAAAAAAAAAAAAAAAAAAAACCGCCGGGCGCAGTGCCTCACGCCTGTAATCCCAGCACTTTGGGGAGGCCGAGGTGGGTGGATCACGACCTCCAGAGATGGAGACCATCCTGGTCAACATGGTGAAACCCCGTCTCCACTACAAACACAAAAATTAGCTGGGCATAGTGGCGCGTGCCTGTACTCCCAGCTACTTAGGAGGCTGAGGCAGGAGAATTGCCTGAACCCAGGAGGCAGGGGTTGCCGTGAGCCGAGATCACCCCATTGCACTCCAGCCTGGGTAAACAAGAGCGATAATCCGTCTCAAAAACAAACAAACAAAAAAAACAAAAAAAAAAAGCCAGGTGTGGTGGCTCACACCTGTAATCTCAGCACTTTGGGAGGTCGAGGCAGGTGGATCACCTCAGGTTAGGAATTCAAGACCAGGGCAGCCAACACAGAGAAACCCCGTCTCCACTAAAAATATAAAATTAGCGGGTGTGGTGGCGCATGCCTGTAATGCTGGCTACTCTGGAGGCTGAGGCAGGAGAGTCACTTGAACCTGGGAGTTTGAGGTTGTAGAGATCCGAGATCATGCCATTGCATTCTAGCGTGGGCAACAAGAGCAAAACTCTATGAGTTTTTGTTCTTTTTTTTTTTGAGACAAAGTGTTGCCCTATCTTGCAGACTGAAGGGCAGTGGCATGATCATACTTCATTGAAGCCTCGACCTCCTGGGCTCAGGTGATTCTCCCACCTCAAAATCCTGGGTACCTGGGACTGCAGGTGCATGCCACTGCATGTGGCTAGTTTTTTATATTTCTTGTGGAGATAGCTTTTCGTTATGCTGCCCAGGCTGGTCTTGAACTCCTGAGCTCAAGTGATCCTCCTGCCTCCACCTTGCAAAGTGCTGGGCCTCTAGCTGTGAGCCACCATGCCTGGCCTCCATACTTCTCCTTCCCCTGAAGAAAGAGGAGGAATGAACTAAATATTCTCACTTTGCTTTTCTCCTTCCTTCTTGTCTCCTGGGAAACAAGGGGCATCTTGACTCTTCCAGAATCAGATGTAAAAGACAAGGTTGGTAAAATCAGTACCCATCCCACCTGAAGCTATGATTAGCCATTGTGCACAAACACAATGTAAAAGACAAGGTTGTGGCTGACCTTGTCTCCTACTGGCCAAACCCAACAGGACACCAGAAGACAAGAGAGTCGGTTTATGAAATCCACACAGGTTCACCTCCTGGGGAAGGAAGCAGGGTGGAAAAGGATGGAGAATGTATAGCAATGAGCAAAGGACCTCGCCAACCTACTCTAGTGTTCACCAGAAAGAGCTGCACTAGGTATAGGGAGGGTGAGACTTACCCAGAAATAAATGTTGAAGTTGGCGGGCGTGGTGGCTCATGCTTATAATCTCAGCACTTTGGGAGTCTGAGGCAGGTGGGTAACTTGAGGTCAGTAGTTCGAGACCAGCCTGACCAACATGGTGAAATCCTGTCTCTACGAAATACAAAAAATTAGGTGAGTGTGGTGGCGCATGCCTATAATCCTGCTACTTAAGAGGCTGAGGCAGGAGAACGGCTTGAAACCAGGAGGCAGAGGTTGCAGTGAGCCAAGATTGTGCCACTGTACTCCAGCCTGGGCTACAAGAGTGAAATTCTGTCTCAAAGCAAAACAAAACAAAAATAAAATAAATGTTGACGTCCAACAGATAGTTCCAAAATGCCCGTCGAAACCCCAAGAGTCCTTATTACTTACCATGTGTTTTGGTTCCCTTTTTGTCATCTCTTATCTATAAAATATCTTTTTTTTTGAGACGGAGTTTTGCTCTTGTTACCCAGGCTGGAGTGCAATGGCGCAATCTCGGCTCACCACAACCTCCGCCTTCTGGGTTCAGGCAATTCTCCTGCCTCAGCCTCCTGAGCAGCTGGGATTACAGGCATGCACCACTATGCCCAGCTAATTTTTTGTATTTTTAGTAGAGATGGGGTTTCATCATGTTGACCAGAATGGTCTCGATCTCTTGACCTTGTGATCTACCTGCCTCGATCTCCCAAAGTGCTGGGATTACAGGTGTGAGCCACTGCTCCCTGCTGAAAAAAAAAAACTTTATAAAAGTGCCATGTTCAGGCCAGGCGCGGTAGCTGACGCCTGTAATCCCAGCACTTTGGGAGGCTGAGGCAGGTAGACTACCTGAGGTCAGGAGTTCAGGACCAGCCTGGCAAACATGATGAAACCCTGTCTCTACTAAAAAATACAAAAATTAGCTTGGCATCGTGGCGGGCGCCTGTAATCCCAGCTACTCAGGAGACCAACACAGGAGAATTGCTTGAACCCGGAAGGCAGAGGTTGCAGTGAGCTGACATCACGCCACTGCACTCCAGCCTGGGCAACAAAATTGAAACTCCATCTCAAAAAAATAAAATAATAGAAAGTAAAATAAAAGTGTCATGTTTGTGCACAATGGCTAATCATAGCTTCAGGTGGGATGGATACTGATTTTACCAACCTTGTTTTTAACATCTGATTATGGAAGAGTCAAGATGCCCCTTGTTTGGCAGTAGAGAGGAAGAAATAGTGTGAAGTCCTTTGCAACCATGTGCAAGTTTTGTGGGGGAAAGGGGACCACATCAGCAGCAATCATCAACCAACCAGTGGGATCTACTTAGTGGTGAGTGGACTGGCTGTTTAATTGGTAAGAGTCACCAGCCTGACCACACTACAGCACGGCCACATGGGTTCCTGTAGAAATGGCCTCAGTTTCCAAAATTCCCCCCAGATGTTTGCTTCTTGCCCAATCGAGAGGAGATCTTGAGACTCCCAAGTGGAAGTCATGACGTGGCACCCTGCCAGGTTGTGTAGAGGGACTGAATGGATATATAAAGTGAGCGTGAGGGTCAAGGGGCTATTCTGCTCTTTGGAAATACCTCTTATAGATCGATCCTGCCTTAATGGTTTTCTGACATCCTAGTTCTAGCAAACCCTGCACAAAGTGGATATCAGGGTTGAAACTGTGGAGACAAAATAATAAGAATAATTTGTTAAAGACAATGAAGTATTGCATAATGTCTGCATTTTACCACTGACTTGAGTGCATCCTTAGAAAAACTTAATGAAACAAAAAACCCAGGACATTTTTGGAAATTGTATGCTCTCTAGCAACTCTGTATGAATGTTTATGCAGACAGTTTTATGAGTTACATAAAATGTTATAAAAATAGGAAAAAAAATGAAATTATTCTCTACTCCCCTGGTAGAAGCACAGACCACACACTCACAGCTCTAGAATGGACACACAAATATCACATTTCCTGAATAAATTCACACTGTCCAGATTACACAAACTCAAACATCCAGATGCCTGAATAATACATCCACAATGTACTCACAGATACAAATACAAACATACACAAGCCTCCATCATGAGAACTATATTCTGTCCATATTCTCACATTACATACATATAGCTCGTAACACCCAAATACACCCAGCCATCCCTCTGCTTTCAAATTCCTCATACCAAAAATGTACACCTAAATTCTCATCTAGACACCATGAGCATACATAAAACTCCTCTACTCTGAATACACACAAAACAGTAAAACATGTAACATTACCTGTCTTTTCAAATGTATGCACACATATTCACAATATCTCACAGTACCGTCAAAATACACAGTACCACGAAAATACACACACACACACACACTCAACCTGAAACCCCATTCTTTGATTCTGACATTCAATAATTTATTTATTTATTTATTTTATTTTTTTGAGACAGAGTCTTGCTCTGTCGCTCAGGCTGGAGTGCCGTGGCTCGATCTTGGCTCACTGCAACCTCCGCCTCTCCGGCTCAAGTGATTCTCCTGCCTCAGCCTCCCAGGTAGCTTGGACTACAGGCGTGCACCCCCATGCCTAGCTAATTTTTGTATTTTTAGTAGAGACAGGGTTTTACCATGTTGGCCAGTTTGGTCTTGAACTCCTTACCTCAGGTGATCTGCCCACCTCAGCCTCCCAAAGTGCTGGGATTACAGGCATGAGCCACCACACCCAGCCCGGTTATGACCTTCTTTAATCTGCAGTATCCACACAGACACCACCAACCCACACACGTGAATATATATTAGACTCTCACCAGTTAAATACGTATCAAATTGCAAACTAAGAAGTCATATAAACACACTGTTCACAGACACACAACCACCCCATGTATCTCATATCCCAAAGTCCAAAACAAATCTTTCTTACATTCTCAAGTACACACACTGACCCAACTGCCCAAGAAGACACACACACACATCTGCAGTAAATTTTAGATATAATACATGTGTAGCCCACAATTTACAAATAATATACCCTACTTTTTATTATAAATTCCACATAAGTGATTCTCATAGAAGCCTTTCCTGACTTTGGCCACACTCTTGCATCCACAACCAACTCGTGCTACCAAGTGAACAGACTATGACTAAAGGCCTGTTCTTAGACTTTGCAGCCGCTCATTATCATTGACAAATGAGCATATTGGAACATGCATGCTGGGTGATCATTCTGATTAAGTCAGCAAGCTTCACAACTCACTCAATGAGGATATCCGTGACAGGAGCTTCTTCTTTGCTGACCCGTGACATAGTTTCAACTGCTGAGGTTTTCCTCAAGCTCCTGTATTGTTCTAAATGTGAGGGGCATGGAGGAGACACACTGCGGTTCCCATTGCATTGTTAAACCGCCTGCCTCAGGTTGCGGTGAGCCGAGATCACACCACTGCACTCCAGCCTGGGTAACAAGAGCGAAACTCCATCGCAAAAAAAAAAAAAAAAGAAAAAAGAATGAACATAATTAACATCAATTCTATACAATTTTTTCCCCAGAAAACAAAAGAAAAGGGAATACTTCCCAGTTTATTATGTGAGGATATGATTTCCCTGACACAAAAATTGGACAAAATATAAAAAAAGAAAACACAACCTATCCACAATTTCTGGCCGAATAATCAATATAAAAGAACACATTCCAACTTATGAGGCCAGGGTTATCCTGATACCTAAACCAGAAATAGTATCAAAAGAAGAAACAAAAAAAGAAAGAGAAAGATACCCTTCATAAATATGATACAAAAATCCTTAACAAAATATTAGCAAATATAAATAATTTAAAAGTATATACCACGGGCGGGGCGTGGTGGCTCACGCCTGTAATCCCAGCACTTTGGGAGGCCGAGGTGGGTGGATCACGAGGTCAAGAGATTGAGACCATCCAGGTCAACATGGTGAAACCCCGTCTCTACTAAAAATACAAAAAATTAGCTGGGCATGGTGGCGCATGCCTGTAATCCCAGCTACTCAGGAGGCTGAGGCAGAATTGCCTGAGCCCAGGAGGCAGAGGTTGCGGTGAGCTGAGATTGCGCCATTGCACTCCAGCAAGAGCGAAACTCCGTCTCAAAAAAAAAAAAAAAAAATGTATATACCACAATCAAGTGGAATTTATTCCACAGATGCAAGGCTGGTTCAATATTCAAGAATCAATCAATGTAATCTACCAAACCAACAGATTCAAGAAGTAAAATCACATGATCACATTGGTTGGTGCAAAAAAAGCATTTAACAAAATTCAACTCCCATTCATGATAAAACCTCAATGAGATTGTTTCAGTAAGTAGTCTTTGAAGCACTGATACTCTGGAAATTTGTGAGAAATAAAAATTTTCATATTCCATCCCATATCTACTAAATCAGAATCTGAATCCAAATGCAAGTAAAGTGTCAGAAGCACTTTTCTCTAAGACAAAAACAGAAAAACTGTTTGTGCTCCTTCCTTCCTTCCCTCCCTCCCGCCTCTCTCTCTCTCTCTCTCTCTCTCTCGACAGAGTTTTTCTCTTATCGCCCAGGCTGGAGTGCAATGGCACAATCTCAGCTCACTGCAACCTCCAACTTCCAGGTTCAAGCAATTATCCTGCCTCAGCCTTCTTAATAGCTGGGATTACAGGTACCTGCTACCACGCCTGGCTAAACTTTGTATTTTTAGTGGAGATGGGGTTTCACCATGTTGGCCAGGTTGGTCTCGAACTCCCGACCTCAGGCGATCCACCCACCTTGGCCTCCCAAAGTGCTGGGATTACAGGTGTGAGCCACCGAGTCTGGCCTGTTGGTGCACCTTCAACAGAGTTACTGTTGAAGACTGTTCTGTCATTATCTACCAGAAGATCTCTCAAAAAATTTCTCAAACATCAAGAACCATGATAAATCACTTGTTAAAAATATACACCATGTATCCAATTTCCATTATTGCTATGTCTTTCAGGAAGATCAGAGACAATTTAACAGTTCAAAGTTCATAACCGTGTCAGACCATATATTCTAAACTTGACCTGGGGTTGACAGTCACTTCTTCATTTTCTCTGATCTTAGTTTTTATTTATCTAGTCTTGTCATCTTACTATAGAGATTCTTAGATGCCGCCTAAATCCACTAAAAGTAAAAGAAAGTATCAAATAAATAGATGAACAAATAAGAACTTATCAAGGTCTTGGTCATTTTTGGCTCTTCGGACAAAGGGGCAGAGATCTGAGAAAACAGATGGGCAGAGGTACAGATGGGAGAAGGAAGTGTGCCAGTGTCACCCATGGACACATACATCAGTTAGTGCCCATGTGCCTTACTCAAAAATTTATTTCTAGAGCTACAACATTAAAATATCATCCCATCATTGCATACTGTACAAAGATTTAAGTGCAAAAGTTTTACCATAACATGGTTAATAAAAAAGAAAGATTAGATTATCCAACATGGTGGTTGTCAAAAAAAAAATTACATTTAAATATCCAATAATTGTGGATTGCTTAAATATTTTATAAAATATCCAAAGAACATACTGTTCTATTACATTATCATACTATCTGATTTCACAGGCCCTTTAAGTTATCACCAACCCTGGTACCTCACTCCTCATTCTCATTCTTTAACTTGCTCTAAGTGTCAATTGCTGCCCAGTGACTCTACTCCCAAAGCCGTTACTGAAATCTCAGATTCACTGATTCCCATGCCTTGCTGCCCATGAGTGCTGAATCATTCATCCTACAATTCCTGATCAGAGAGCCTTCAATTCCTCCATTCTAATGGTCCTAGCTCCCTACCAATCAATCCCATGTCCCCATGACTGGCCTGCATGCCTGTATCTCCATGACATCCTAAGAGTCCCAATCCTAGGCACACCTGTACCTGCACTGGGGCCTTAGCACACAAACACATCTCCCACCGCTGACAAAACTAGGCCATAAACTCCTCCACACACACAAAGAACTAAATCAATGAACAAATCGGGGAAATTATTGAATGCATAGGATAAATTTATAAATAGAAAACACTTCTAAGTGTGAAAAACCAGACTATTCAGAGAGAAAGAATGAAGGAAATAAGAAAACTCTTTATTTGCAGTACCGAGAGCGAAATAATGTCAGAAATAGCAACTAAAAGACCACTCTTCTGTCAGGACAAGAGAGACATTTTCAGAAATAAAAGCACTTGCAGAGGGTATCTCTATCTTTGAGAGAAATACTGGAAGAAGTAGTCCAAATAAATGTAAAATGAATCTCACGAGAAATCTTCAACAGGAAAATACTGTTCAGTAATAATTCTTGCAAAATATACATAATTACAAAAATGGACAATGTGACAATGTGATCAAGAGGCCACTAAAGAGAAAATTAATAATGTCCTGTGATAAAATGTTCCTAATCATCTCAGGAAAAAACAGAAAAAATGGGGTGCAGAATGGAAACAATGGGCAGAAATTTCATCCATCCAATCAAAATATATAAAGAAAAGGCAGAAAATAAAAAGAGCTAAATAGTGATCAAATGGAAGGCATACAATCAGATAAATCATTATTACAATAAATAGAGGTAAAACTCTATCAACAGAGACTATAAGTTGGATTCGAAAAAAACAAAGGTATCTATTGTAAACAAACAGGTAATGTAACATAGAAACAGATATGGATACAAAATAAAGCTCTGGGCAAAGACACATCATCCAAATGCAACAAAAGTAAAAACAAGTGGCCGTGTATCAACGTGGCATTTTAAAAAATATATTCTCGATATTAATCTTTTATATGTAAATATGATCTACAAATATTTTCCTGCAATCCATGAGTTGCCTTTTCACTCTACTGATAGTGTCCTTTGATGCACAAAACATTTTTATTTTGATTAAATCGATCTATTCCCTTATTGGCTGTGCTTTTGGTGTCTTTGATCCAAGAAATCATTGCAAAACCCAATCACGAAACTTTTCCTTTATGCTTTCTTCTAAGACCTTTATAGTTTTAAGTCTTATGTTTAGACCTTTGATCCAGTTTGAGTTAGTTTATGTATATATACTATGTATATATCCATATGCAAAGAGTGAGGTTGGGCTCTTATTTATACTATATATATATAGTATGTATCACATATAGTATAAAGTATATAATATATATGTATATAGGTGTGTATATATACAAACTATATAATATATATGCATATATACTATATATATACACATATACATTGTTTTAAACATATATACAAATGTATTTTAAAAAGCTCAACATCACTGATTAGAGAAATGCAAATCCAAACCAAATATATATGTTCTATATTATATATGCATTAGCTAGAATATATTAATCAGCTATAATATATATTACATTATGTATATTACATACTATATATAATGGTGTTTATATTATATACCCAAAGGAATATTAATCATTCTATTACAAAAATACATGCACGTGTACGTTCATTGCAGCACTGTTCACAACAGCAAAGACATGGAATCAACCCAAATGCTCATCAATGGTATACTGGATAAAGAAAATGTGGGGTATATATACACCATGGAGCACCATGCAGCCATGAAAATGAATCAGATCATGTCTTTTCCGGACATGTAGATGAAGCTGGAAGCCACTATCCTCAGCAAACTAACACAGGGACAGAAAAGCAAATAAATATTACATGTTCTCACTTATAAGTGGGAGCTGAACAACGAGACCATGTGGACACAGGGAGGAGAACAACACACACTGGCACTTGTTGGGGGAGGGCAGAGGTAGGGAGAGCATCAGGAAAAATGGCTAATGCATGCTGAGTTTAGTACCTAGGTGATGGGATGACAGATGCAGCAAACTACCATGGTACACATTGACCTGTGTAAGAAAACTGCCTGTCCTGCACATGTACCCCAGAACTATAAAGAAAATAAACGCACAAATAAAATTTTAAAAAATTATCTTAATTGTATGTGGGTAGGTCCCTTTGATTGAAAGTGAAATGGAAACAATTAAAAAAAAACTTACTATTCAAAATTTACAAAACTAAATAAGAGTAAAACAAATTTACATTTTGTCCCTGGATTGATATAAGACAGAAACATTGTGTGGGAAAGCTGGAGTTGAGGACGAATGAGATTCTGAGAATAAAAATCCCTGGTACATAGTCAAAGTTTCAGAGTCGACTTCAGATTTTCAAGGATTATAAAATAAATAACCTCATATCACCATCTCCAACAGATAAAAGGAACCAGATAGTATCTGTGTTCCAGGGAGAAAGAACAGAAAATTGGCTGAGTTCTGTCACTGACAAAACTTAGTGGGAAGGAGTAATCTGGAAGGCAGGAGGGTGGAGGGATCCCGGGCTTGCGGGGTGGGGAGGGGCTGGGCTGTGCTTCAGCCTCCCCCTCTCATTGCTCCCCCCCATCGGGGCCCTTTGTGATGTGAAGGCCCCAGCTCTGTGACGCAGGCCTGGGCCCCAGTCCCTAGTCTGCAAGGGAATGCCCAGAGCTCAGTTGCTCGAAGGCAGCATACCTATTCAGATGGCGAATATTCCGTTTCCTCTAAAATTTCTTAGTGATTTGTGGATAAACACCCCCAGCTTTACACCATGGGTATTGGATATCTTCCTCACCCTGGTATTTGTCGTGGAGTTATATTTCCTATTAGCCCCCTGCCTCTCTTACTTCTATCGTGATCCACCCTGACCATCGCCCGGGGAGAAGAAAATGGTAAGGAGCCCTTAGGCTGGATCCACACAGCACAATTCTCTCCTTTCTTTCTATTATTAGCTCTACTTTTCCAAATCCAGTGGAGAAAATTCTGCAATGGGATGTGTCAGGAGAGACCAGAACATGGTCCTTCCAGGGAGAGGCAGAGCACCCAGGGGTTGGTCGGGACTGGGATTTCCATCCCAAGCTCTAAGTCCATCTGTGGGGGAGCACAGGGGGCGTCAGGGCAAAACCAAACCCCTGGACTCAGTGGTGAGGACCAGTCAGGACATGGGGGTGGTCTCTGTGGGGGGGGGGGCGCTCATAAGCCCCTTCCTGGGGCAGGTGGCTGGGGGCCCAGCCTCATCTGTGTGGGGTGATCTGGGGGCTGTGCTGAGCCTCCGAAGGCCTCCCACCTGGGCCTGGAGTCTCCTCTGATCTCCTGAGAAGCAGAATCCTACCTGACAGCTCAGGTGTGCCCGCGGGCCTGAGCCTGGGTGTTCGTTGAGTAGAGGAGCACCTCTACCATTACTTACATTATATTATATATTATATACTATGTATATTGTAGTTTATATATGAAATATATATAATATATATATATATTTCCTCATATAGTAAATCCCTCTTTGTGGTGGGTTTTATTGTTTGTTTTTTGAGATGGAGTCTCACTCTCGTCGCCCTGGCTGGAGTACAATGGCGATCTCAGCTCACTGCAGCCTCTGCTTCCCACGTTCAAGCAGTTCTCCTGCCTCAGCCTCCAGAGTAGCTGAGATTACAGGGACGCGCTACCACGCCCGGCTAATTTTTGTTATTTTTAGAGACAGGGTTTCACTATGCTGGCGAGGCTGGTCTCAAACTTCTGATCTCAGGTAACCCACCCTTCTTGGCTTCCCTGAACGCTCAGATTATAGGCATGAGCCACCAGGTCTGGCCCCCTCTTTGTGTTTTTCTAAGAAGAAAAGCAGTTTATCATCCACTTAAACATGAGTGGGAGGAAGCACACCGCTCCCTGAGCAAGACCAGAGAGCTGTGCGGTTCATGAGCGCCGCGGCTGGACTGGGGGCTGAGAGTGAGAGCTGGTCTCAGCCCCTCACCCTTACTTGTCTCCCAGGGTCACCTTCTCTCCCAGGGTCAGCGGAGGGGGAGGCCCAAAGGCAGGAAGAAAAACTGCAGTCTGAAAGGTAAGGCTCTGCCGGGGCACACTAGAGTTCATTTGATCTCGTCTGTCCCCGGAGGGACGTGATTCTGTCTGAGGAAGTCAACTGAAGAGGCCTGAGGTGGGGGCTCCTAGGAAGGAAATCAGAACCCCGGGTCCCTCTCAGATTCCATGCTGGCATAAAACCATGGTGGGCCAAGGACTGGGTGTTCCCCAGCAGGGCACAGTGTAGGGGGAGGAGACTAACGCCTGTCTGAATCAGGAGGGGGGTGAGGGGAGTGTGGACAGCTGTTCAACTCTGCTAAGGCTGATTCCTCTTTGAGCCCACCCTAGTCCTTTCTCCCCACAGGGCAGCTGTGAGAACTATGGGGTCGGGGGGGGGGGGGCGTCTGTGTGTGGAAGCCCTTTGTGGACAACAAAGCCTTGCCCTCCCTTCCTCGCTACCACCGTCCAGGCCATGTAGCCTTGGACACAGACATGCGGTTTCCAGGGTCTGACTCCCCATGGTCTTCCCTCAAGAAACATCCACTCAGCCTCCTGTGAGATCCCAGGTCCCTCCCTCACTGCCCTAACCCGGTCTCCTGATTTCCAGCTTATAGAGACCTCCTGAAAGGCCTGGAGTGGCTTCTGGACTTGCTTTCACAACTGCAGCGGTGAGGCACTTCCCCTTCCCTGCATCCTTCTTACCGGGCTGGGATTCGACCCCAGGGCCTTACGGCAGCCTGGAGCTGACCTGGGATGGGGAGACCAGGGGGACAGAGGATGGGAGTAAAACCCTGGAGGAAGGGGTAGGAGAAGAATTGGGGAGTCTGGGTGTGGAGCGTTGGAGGCACATAGGAGAAGAATTGGGCAGTCAGCATGTGGGGGGTGGAGGGGCATAGAAGAACTGGGCAGTCAGCATGTGAGGTGGTGGAGGGACAGAGGAGAATTGGACAGTCAGCATGTGGGGTGGTGCAGGGACAGAGGAGAATTGGGCAGTCAGCATGTGGGGTGGTGGAGGGACAGAGAATTGGGCAGTCACCATGTGGGGTGGTGGAGGGACATAGGAGAATTGGGCAGTCAGCACTTGGGGTGGTGGAGGGACAGAGGAGAATTGGGCAGTCAGCATGGGGGGTGTTGGAGGGGTATAGGAGACTTGGGCAGTCAGCATGTGGGGTGGTGGAGGGGCATAGGAAGAGAATTGGGCAGTCAGCATGTGGGGTGGTGGAGGGACAGAGGAGAATTGGGCAGTCAGCATGTGGGGTGGTGGAGGGACATAGGAGAATTGGGCAGTCAGCATTTGGGGTGGTGGAGGGACAGAGGAGAATTGGGCAGTCAGCATGTGGGGTGTTGGAGGGGTATAGGAGAATTGGGCAGTCAGCATGTGGGGTGGTGGAGGGGCATAGGAGGAGAATTGGGCAGTCAGCATTTGGGGTGGTGGAGAGGCGTAGGAGAATTGGGCAGTCAGCATGTGGGGTGGTGGAGGGACAGAGGAGAATTGGGGAGTCAGCATGTGGGGTAGTGGAGGGGCCAGGGCCCACGCACGCACTCTGACCTATGGCCCTACCTGCTCCTGGCTGCAGCTTGTGCCTCCTGTCTCCTGCAGCATCCCGGTGCCGCATCCTGAGAAAGGTGACTTTGGTCAGTTCTCTGGTCCAGATCCCCCAGGTGAGGAGTGCAAAAGAGCACCTGATGAAGCCTCCCAGTCCCCTCAGGAGCCGATGAAAGATGCCGCTCCTGTGCTTTCCCCATTAGCTTCCCAGGATCCTCAAACCCAGCATCCTTCGCCTCTGGTCTCCACCCCATCACCAGGCCCAATGGCCACCTCAGTCTCCCCTCTGAGTGCCTCCCAACCACCAGAGCCTTCCCTTCCCCTGGAACACCCCTCACCCGAGCCACCTGCGCTTTTCCCTAACCCACCACACACACCTGATCCTCTGGCCTGCTCTCCGCCTCCTCCGAAAGGCTTCATTGCTCCTCCCCTGCAGGACTCCACTCTGACGACTCCATCTCACTGTGACTCGGTGGCGCTTCCACTGGGCACCATCAAAGCTCATCTCCGTGTGAGGATTTGGTGACTTCTGGCCCAGCCATCTCAGGCCTTGGTGGCTCAAGCAGTCATGTCTCTGTGCCTGCATTCTGGTGTCAGGAAACTACCAGAACCTGGCGCGTCTCCAACCCATCTGTCCAGCAAGATCATCTTTCCGGCCACCCACCAGAAAACTCATCCTCGGGAGACCCCACAAACAGTCAGATGGAAGCTGGAAGCCCCTTTTTGCTCAGCTCTGATGGCCAGAATGCCGTGGGAATACAAGTCACAGAAAGAGCCAGGATCAACATTCGGGAGGAAAAAGATGGATCATTTCCAAAACAAACACGGAAAAGCACTTGAATTCCTTGGGGAATTTGGTGAAATCATTGAATGCTGAGCAGGACCCCACAACCCTAAAACCCGTCTGGGACATGGAAGACTTGAAACAATCGTACAGTCCTCAGAAGCTCTCGGATTCTGGAACCCTGAAGGAACATTTTCAGAAGAATTATAGCCAGCTTTTCTGGGGCCTCCCCTCTCGGCACAGCAAATCCTTGGAGGCTAGTGCCTGGGTGTCTGAAAGATCATATACTTTATAGTCTCCTCCTTTCTTGTTCAATGGCATTCCCAATGTCCACCCACTTCAAACAGAGACTACAATGTCTCCACTGCTTTACCAGGCCCAGCACCTGTCCCATCTGAGGCCTGAGTCCCAACCCTTTATTTAGCCCACACCCCAATTCCAGCTCTCACACATGGCTCAGGTGGAGGCTCAGGCCCGTCTTCAATCCTTTTTCCTAGTCCAATCTCCTGCTTTTGCATCCCCGATTAATAATTCTGGAGTAGCTTGCCCTGCGTCGCAGATTAAGACGCAAGCTCTCACCTTACCTGAAATGCAGCGCCCTGAACGGTCTTCTAAACAACTAGAAGATGGGTTGGCTTTACCCTCTAGGTCCCAAAAACCTCAGGATGTCTTTAGCGCCTCCACTCCTAACCTTCCCCAGGGCAGCTTGACAGCAATCATTCCTGAGAACTTTCCGGTCAGTCCTGAACTCCGGAGCAACCCAGGAACGACCCAAGAGTCTCCGGATCTGACGCAGCCTCAGGAGAAATTGCCAGGGACAAGTCAGGCCAGGGGCAAACTCAGACCCTTGCAGTTCTTCAAGTCCATGGGAAAAAGCAGCAAGGATATACAGAAGGTGACGTTCCCGCTAGAGAGTAATCCGTGCACACCTCTGGGACAAATTCGGGGGTAGACCCCGCAAAATCTAGCCAGGAACATGGAAAGCTTCCCAGGGAAGGTTCTGTGGGCGGAACCTCAAGTCTCTGAGGAATCGGAAAGAGACTTGAAGATGCCCTTGAGGAGAGACTCGGAAAGTGATTTCTTAAGACGCACAGGGACAAATCGTATAGAAAACATCCTGAAAGCCCACGTGGGCATGAAGTTGGCCCAGATCAATGAGGGCTTTATCCCCATTCGTGTGCGTCGATCCTTGCTTGCTGTCAACCAGGCTTTTCCCGTGTCCAACACTCACATGAAGACCAGCAATCTAACACCCCCAAAAAGTTAAAGAGCCAGTGTGAACACATCCCAGGAGCTTTTCTTCCTCAATCCGTGCACTCAACAGGTGCTGGGACACCATATTGTGAGGTTGTGGGCCAAACACAACTGGAGCCTACCCCTCAGGGTCCTCAAGCCCATTAAGCTCTTTAAACTGGAAAAAGTTTCATCCTTATCCCTACCACAGCTTGCTGGTCCCTCCTCAGCCACCTATGAATCTAAGCCTAGCTCAAAAGTTGAGAAAGCCACGTTCCTGAGAGAGTCACCACCGGCAGGTCTGAGAAAGCAGGTGCTGACCAAAGCATCTGTTCAGATGCCAGACAGTCTTCTGGTGTCTTCACCCACATTTACGAAGTTCCAGACGGCCCCACAAGGGATCCCGTCTTGGAATGCCCATGGGCCCTTGAAGCCTCCTCTAGCTGGACAGGAGGACAGGTGGCCTTCTAAGTCCCTCACATGCAGCCTCACAGGCAGCGCCCAGCAGAGCGGGAGCTTAGGAGCCCAATCTTCAAGGGCTGGAAAGACCATGGAGGCAGCGCCACAACCCAGAGTCCCCTTGGGAAACTTGGCAAACCTCCAAGCCACACGTAAGGATATGAGTGGTTCAGAGGCTCCACGGACCAGTAAAGGCTCTCAACTCCTAACTCAGAGACCCAGCCTCAAGTTTGTGGCGCTGTTGTGCTCCCTCCAGATGGTTTTACTGACATTCCCCTTGCTACAGAGAGTTTGGCTTCTCAAGTGCCCCACGGCTGTCTCCAGAGCATGCCTACCGGGAACATGCAGGCTTCCCGGGAGCAACGTGACTTTATGGCAGCCAGAAGGAGCAACCTGGGGTACAAGGAGCCCAAGAACCCGAAATGTCAAGGCTCATGCAAGAGCCAGAGCCGGATGTCTACCCCTACTCACAACAGTGAGAACCCAAAGAAGCCCAACTTAGAAAAATGTGAAGAAAGACTTGAAGAACTGAGGACTCCCCAACTCACCCCAGTCAGGAAAACAGAAAAAACCCATCAGGATGAAGGCCTCCAGCTGCTGCCATCAAAGAAACAGCCTCCTTCAATAAGCAACTTCGGAGAAAACATCAAACAATTTCTTCAGCAGGTCTTTTCAGTGAAAAAAAGCAAGCCAGTACCAGTCACTGCCAACAGCCAGAAAATAGTGAAAAATAGATCACATATGTACAGCAGCTGTGCTGAAGCTGAGGGGCTCACGGCAGCAGCTGGACACATGCTGGAGAAAAAAATGACACTTCGCCGTGAGCATCGTGCCTCTAACGTATATCAGCACAAACAGGAGTTCCAAGCCCCAGTCTGTGGGTTTCCCTGCAACCGCAGGCACCTCTTCCACCCGGAACACAGCAGAATGCTCAGCTATGCAGCCAGCAGTCAACAAGCCACTCTCAAGAGCCAGAGTTACCCCAACAGAGAGAAGCATATCAGAGATCAACAGTCCTTGAAAAGTGTCCGGCGCAACAGTGACCAACGGGGCCAGGACAGCCCCAACTCTTGCTCCCCAAGGCTGTCTCACAGAAGGTCAAGTAGTCTTCTGTGAAGATACAGAACTTTTAATATTCCAAAATAAATAAATATCTCCTTTTTTTCCCCCATAAAAGGATAATGGCTTTTATTTGTGTCGTGCTTGGTCTGAGCTTGTTTTCTAGAAGTGACAGGACATGGAAGGATTCTGAGAGTGGTGTTGTAAGCCCACCTTCATCCTGAGTTCCTTCACTGAAACTTAGGTTTCCATAATACTGTCTTTACACAAACAACAAAAAATTCTGAAAACAAGACAAGAACACCTACGAAGATCCCACTCAGAAATATGGTTCAACCCATCTTTCTACTACTTACTCTACCTCAAACTTTATGCAGCTGTAGGAAGAAGGGTTGCAGAGATGTCATAGGACTGACTATCTCCATGCAGGCTCCAGGAACTGCCACAGTCAAGTAGCTTCATGTGTCACAAAACAGTGGAAGCTTGGGTGGGAGAGTGTGGGCCCTGAGTTCAGAAGCCAGGGAAGTCTTGACCTTGGATATCCTGGGGGAGAGTAGATAATGCCTGCCCTTGGGAAGCCCCTTCTCTCCCTCGCAAAGGCTGGGACGGAGATGGGCCCTCTTAGCTCAGCCTACATACAAAGCACAGAGTCCCCATCCCACTGCCTCTCCCTTTCTTGCACTCTGGAGTGGGGGTGGGGACAGACCTTCCAGCGCTGTGGATGTAAAAGTGGGGGGTGTGGGGAGGCCTTAACAGAGGCTGCTGAGGACCGTGAGCTCCCCTGCCCAAAATGAGTGAATGACCCTGCTCCTGGGTCACCTGCCTTTGTCTGTCTCACCTATGTGTGTCTCAGCTTCAGAGAAGTAGTTCTGGGTGAATGGGGCAGGGCATGCCTGTGTGTGCAGAGGCTTCCGATGGTGGGACTCTGTAGAACTACAGCCAGATGCAGACAAAGAATTGAAAAGGAGGCAAAGTGGTGTGAGGGCTCCGTAGGCAGTGCCATGACCTGGGAGCCTCTGACATTCCAACCCCTTCCACAGGCATAGAGGGGCCTATGGCTCATCCTGGCCCCACCCCAGGGTCTGTCCTTGTTCCAGCTCCCAGACCACAGACCTAAAAATGCATTTAGCCCCAACACAGAGGGCCAGACCAGTGAGAAGGCAAACTGAATAAGGGAATATGAATTTCTTAACATCTTTAATAAGCTTGCACATAGTAACCTACTGAATTTTTTTTTTTGAGACAGAGACAGAGTTTCACTCCTTTGCCCAGGCTGGAGTACAGTGGTATAATCTCAGTTCACTGCAACCTCCAGCCCCTGGGTTCAAGTGATTCTCCTGCCTCAGTTTTCCAAGTAGCTGAGATTATAGGCACCCACCACCACACCTGGCTAATTTTTTACATTTTTAATAGAGATGGGGTTTTGCCATGTTGGCCAGGCTGGTCTCAAACTCCTGACCTCCAGTGATCTACCAGCCTTGGCCTCCCAAAGTGCTAGGATTACAGGCATGAGCCACTGCATCTGGCCTACCTATTGAATTTTTAAGAGGATGTGTTGACGATAGCAAGGACTAGAGAACCCCAGGCATGACTCGGGAGTCTGGTGACCTTTAACATACACGTAGCCCCAGGACTGCCCCCAGGGGAGAGGTGGTGACTTAGAAGGACCCCAGCAGCTGAGCTGGGGTCACACAGCAAATCTCCCCCAGCTCCTGAGGTCCTTTCTTGCCCCACAGACCAACAGGGGAAGAGGCAGGCAGGCAGGCAGGATTTGAACACACAAGGCAGCTGGAAGTGACCTGTCCAGAATGGGCAGGGGGTGGGCAGGGCAGGAGCCGTCCCCGCTCTGTCTCCCTCTGCTTTCAGCACAGCTTCCTCCTCTCTGGGCCCTCTCCGCATGGGAAAGCAGGAGGTCCCCACAAATCAGGAAGAGGAGTGTGAGGTCTCTAGAGGGAGTTTCCGTGCCTTGTGCACATACAGGTGCGCAGAAGGCCCAGTTACGGGGGCCTCGTTTCCATGGTGGAGAGGACCATGCCAGGCGGTGCCACTGATTTAGATGAAAATGGAAATGGCCCTGCCATTCCATGTAAGACTGGCTGGCACTTCGGGTAAAGGGGGCAGTAAGCAACAGTCCCCAGCATGTGGCCTGTCCTAGGGCCAGGTCTGTCTGGGGCCCAATGACTGAGGCAGCCTCCAAGGTGGACCCAGCAGTGACAGCAGAACCAGGACCAGAAGGAGGGGCTGGGACCTGGAACAGAGATCAGCTCCAGTCCCCCTGGGGAGCTCAGGAGAGAGAGTCACAGAGCTGGGATCCTGACTGCTGAGCAGGGGCCATGCCTGGCTGCTGCTGGGTTCCCTCAGGAAACTGATAGGCGAGTTCTGGGACGTGGAGGAGCTGGATGTGTGGACCCCACGGCTCAGGCCAGGAGAAGCACCACAGGAAACACTGGCCGACCAACAAGAACATAGGAAGGCACAAGCAAGCCCTTACCCCTCCGCTACTCAGTCTCCCATGGGGTACAGTGAGGCCAGCAGTGGAGACCACAGAGACCTCCCACAGAAACCTCACAGAGACATCTCGTACAGAGAGCCCACCGGGACCACTCACTGCCAGAGAGAGACACACTGTGGCCTCCAGAGACCCCACAGAGCTCTCAGTGACCTCATGGTGCCCCACAGAGACACAGCACTGAGATTCCCAGAGTCCTCACACAGACCCCTTCAGAGAACCCCACAGAGACCACACTGAGAGACTTCATTCAGTCCCACAGAGACCTCCTGCAAATTTCAGAGACCTTCCTTGGTTCTCACACAGAGGCCTCACACCTGACAAAGGCCTCAGAGCCTTTACACAGAATCATAAAACAGGGAACTCATGCAAACACTCATGCAGCTCACCTCGTGATCTGCCTGCCTCAGCCTCCCAAAGTGCTGGGATTACAGGCATGAGTCACCTCGCCCAGCCTCTCTTTTATTTTTAAGTTGGAGTCTTGCTCTTTCACTAAGGCTGGAATGCAGTGGCATGATCTCAGCTTACTGCAATCTCCAACTCCCAGGTTCAAGTCATTCTCCTGCCCCAGCCTCCCTAGTAGCTGGGATACAAGTATGCACCACCACGTGGACCAAGCTAATTTTTGGTATTTTTAATAGAGACAGGTTTTTACCATGTTGGCCAGGCTGATCTCAAACTCCTGACCTCAAGTGATTCACCCACCTTGGCCTCCGAAGGTACTGGGATTATAGGCATGAACCACCGCACCCAGACTGGTCCTCTCTCTCTGGGCACCCTGGCCCTGTGAGCTGGAGGAAGGCAAGTGGGGCCAGGCCTGGAGCAGCCCCTGATAGGTGTTGAGTGAATGAGTAGGGGTGGGGAGGGGGGGCTGGGGAAGGCACCCAGGATGTGTTCCTCCCACCCCCCAGCCTTGTCAGGCCTCCATGCGCTGCTGAGCTCTTGCATGGTGGTCCTTTCCCACTTACAGCTCACTGCCTTGGACTAGGTCCCAGCCGATGGCCCGGCAGAAGTGTCCTCTCTGTTCTTACCCAGTATGACCTAGATGGGAGCCAATAAGCAAATGGAATGAGCATAGCCCTGAGGTTTCCAAAGTGTGTGAGGAAGAAAGGGAGGGAGGGAGCGAAGGAGGGAGGAAAGGAGGCACCGGAGGGAAGGAGGGAGGCAGGAAGGAAAAAAGGGAGGGAGGGAGGAAGGGGGCAATGAAATGACTGCACATACAAAGGAATGAGTAAATAAATGCCCAAACCAAGAAATGAGTGAATGAATGCACACACAAAGGAATAAATGAATGAATGAATGAATGCACACAAAGGAAAGAGCCAATGTATGAACATGCCACTTGTGGGGCGTGAAGAGGCCTGAAGAGACCCCCAGTTGATGGGGCCCCACGTTGTGTCTTTGCTGATGAGGGACCTGGACATGCTGGTGCATGGGAGAAGGGCTTGGGCTTGGGGTGAACTGGCTCACAGACGACTCATCAAGTGTCACAAGTAACCCTGAGCAGCAGGCTTCCCCTCCCGATCCTTAGCCCCACCAGATGTAACATGGATTAGAAGAGCGACCTCATGGTGCTTTTCTGAAAATTCAGTAGGTGAAACTTGGTGGCTCATGCCTGTAATCCCAGCACTTTGGGAGGCCAAGGCGATTAGATCACTTGGGCCCAGGAGTTTGAGACTAGCCTGGGAAACAGTGAGACCCTGTTTTTGTTAAAAAAAAAAAAAAAAAAAAAAAATGAAAATTCAATGGGGTGCCGGGTGTGCCAGTTCTAGAGCTGTGACATTTGTTTATTTGGTTCAACCCAAGCCACTTCAAACAACTGAGCCCCCCCAGCCAGTGGGCCAGGCCTCTCAGTGTCACTCTGGCTGAGGGGGTGTGTGTGTGTGTTTCTCCTTCAACTGTCCTCATTCTTTCCATCACGTGTGTATGTGTGGTCTTTTCTCTCTCATACACACACACCTGTCGAATTTGCATGCTCTGACACACAGACACACAGTCACACTTCCTTTAAAAAATTTTTTATTTTTAGAGGCACAATCTTGCTCTGTCACCCAGGCTGGAGTACAACGGCACAATCACAGATCACTGTAGCCTTGAACTCCTAGGCTCAAGTGATCCTCCAGACTCAGCCTCCTGAGTAGCTGGGACAACAGGCATGCATCCCCATGCCTTACTAACCTTTTTTTGGTAGAGGTGGGGTCTTGCTATGTTGCCCAGGCTTGTACACTCCTGCTTCTGTATGTATGTATGCATGTAAGCATCCTTTTTTGAAAATGATTTCCCTGACTCTTTCTTTAAGCACAGACTTTTCTGAAGCTCTGGGGACACCTGGAAGAGGAAGGGAGGGTTCTGGATACCCCCTAGGACCACACTGGCCTTGGGTGCAGGACAAGCCCAGGCAAGAGAAACAGACCCTGCTGAGGGGTCTCCTCTTTGCCTCCTCCCTGGGTCCCAGCTGGGTGGTCTCCTCGGTTCACTGCCGGCCAGGGTCAGGCAGTGCATGGCCAAGCCCACCGCTATGTCATCATTCCAGGGGGAAGGGGCTTGAAGGCTGCGTCATGGAGTGATGGGAACCTGGATTTAGTTGGTATGACCTAAGTTCAGGTTTCAGCTTTTCCACATCCTGGCAGCAAGGCCTTCGGGTGGGAATTCCTCCTCCGCAAAATGAGAGCTTGTGAGAATTAAACTGGCCCCAGCATTTAGGAAACAGCCCTGTGATGTAGGTTCATGCTCCCATGACCCAATTATTTCCCAAATACAAAAAATTAGCTAGGAGCGGTGGTGGGCACCTGTAACTCCGGCTACTCAGGAAGCAAAGACAGAAAATTGCTTGAAACCAAGAGGCAAAGGTTGCAGTGAGCTGAGATGGTGCTACTGCACACCAGCCTAGGCAACAGAGCAAGGCTCTGTCTCATGAAAAAGAAAAAAAGGAAAAAAAATGAAATGGAAGGAGATGAAAAGGAATATATGTAACATAGGCAAGGACTTCATGACTAAAACACCAAAATCATTGGCAACAAAAGCCAAAATAGACAACTGGGACCTAATTAAACTCCAGAGCTTCTGTACAGCAAAAAAAAAAAAACAATCAGCAGAGTGAACCAGCAACCAACAGAATAGGAAAAAATTTTGCAATCTACCCATCTGACAAAGGGCTAATATCCAGAATCTACAAAGAACTAAAACAGATTTACAAGTAAAAAGCAAACAAACCTATCCAAAAGTGGGAGAAAGATATGGACAGATACTTTTCAAAAGAAGGCATATATGAGGCCAACAAACATATGAAAAAATGCTCATCATCACTGATTATTAGAGAAATGCAAATCAAAACCACATTGAGATATCATCTCACGCCAGTCAGAATGGCGATCATTAAAAAATCTGGAGATAACAGATGCTGGAGAGGATGTGGAGAAATAGGAACAATTTAACCCTGCTGGTGGGAGTGTAAACTAGGTCAACCATTGTGGAAGACAGTGTGGCGCTTCCTCAAGGACCTAGAAATAGAAATTCCATTTGACCCAGCAATCTCATTACTGAGTAATATACGCAGAGGATTATAAATCATTTTATTATAAGGACACATGCACACATGTTCATAACGGCACTGTTTACAATCGCAAATACCTGGAACCAAACCAAATGCCCATCGACGATAGACTGGACAAGGAAAATGTGGCACATACACACCATGGAATACTATGCAGCCATAAGAAATGATGAGTTCATGTCATCTGTAGGGACATTGATGAATCTGGAAACCAGCATTCTCAGCAAACTGACACAAGAACAGAAAATCAAACACCAGATGTTCTCACTCATAGGCAGGTGTTGAACAATGAGAACACACAGACACAGGGAGGGGAACATCACACACTGGGGTCTGTTGCGGGGGCCAAGGGAGGGACAGCGGGGGAGGATGGGGAGGTTGGGGAGGGATAACATGGGGAGAAATGCCAGATGTGGGTGACAGGGGATGGAAGCAGCGAACCACATTCCCATATGTGTACCTATGCAATAATCCTGCATGATCTGCAAATGTAAGCCAGAACCTCAAGTACAATTAAAAAAACAAAGATTTGCAAGGAATCAAAAAGCATTTAAATATCCACATGAAGATATTCATCAGCAAGACTGATACCACAAAGAAAAGAAAAGAAAATCAAATCAGTGATACTAAGAATACATTGGAGAAGTCCTCCAAGAATGTAGAGGAAAAGGATAACAGAATGAAAGTGATGATGAGAGCTCTGTGAAACCCAATTTTAAAACTCCAAGATTAATACAATAACATTTTCAGAATAGAGTAGAACAACAAACTAATGAAAAAACAACAACAAAGAGAACATTTTTTCTTGACCTTTTAAAAAAAAAATCATGTTCTATCAAAAGAAATCCTCACATAGACATATCCTGGCAGAATATGTATTGAAATGCTGGAAAACTTTTAACCATTCCGGGATCTGAGAAAAGTACTTAGAAATGAATGAAAATCAGGCTGACCCTGGCTTTTCCTCTGTGACAGAAAATTCAGGAAAACACTAGAATACCATCTACACAGTTGAGGGGAAGGGTTAGAAACCCAAGTAACCAGAGATTTTGGAAACACACTTGCGTAGTCTGACATCTGTGAAAATAACATACTTGGCTGTTTTTGCTTTGAGAGTACATAACACCAATAAGCAGCGTAAGAAAAATATTACTTTAGTTCAACCATTATGGAAGACAGTGTGACAATTCATCAAGGATCTAGAACCAGAAACACCATTTGACTGGGGTGAGTGTGGTGAGGAGGCAGCAGGGGCAAAGGCCCTGGGGTGGGTGTGGTGAGGAGGCAGCAGGGGCAAAGGCCCTGGGGTGAGTGTGGTGAGGAGGCAGCTGGGGCAAAGGCCCTGGGGTGAGTGCGGTGAGGAGGCAGCAGAGGCAAAGGCCCTGGGGTGGGTGTGGTAAGGAGGCAGCAGGGGCAAAAGCCCTGGGGTGGGTGTGGTAAGGAGGCAGCTGGGGCAAAGGCCCTGGGGTGGGTGTGGTAAGGAGGCAGCTGGGGCAAAGGCCCTGGAGTGAGTGCAGTGAGGAAGCAGCAGGGGCAAAGGCCCTGGGGTAGGTGTGGTGAGGAGGCAGCTGGGGCAAAGGCCCTGGGGTGAGGAGGCAGCTGAGGCAAAGGCCCTGGGGTGGGTTTCGTTAGGAGGCAGCTGGTAAATGTCATCAGCCTGGTGTTCACATGCATGGCCCAGTTCCCCTAGTCCACTCCCCCAGGGGCGCGTCAAAGGTCTCAGCCTTGCACGAGACATTTCCCGACTTTCCAAACTTGTCAGCCCTCGAGGTTTGTGTTCCTGGGTGGGTTTCTGCTGTGCCTGAGAGGTGGCCCAGGTCCACGTGACAGGGGGAGAAACTAGCCCAGCAGGCCTGGGTTTGCCTACCACACTGCCTCTCACTTGCTGTGTGACCTGAGGCAAGTTACCAGACCTCTCTGAACATGTTTTTCTAGCGGAGCTTTTGATACATGCCTGGTGTGGGGTGTGCGGTCAGGAAATGCTGTTTCCCTGCCACTTTTCAATGTTTCCTCTTCTCAGCCGACATTTAAAACAGTTCCCACAGGCTGGGCGCAGAGGCTCACGCCTGTAATCCCAGCACTTTGGGAGGCCAAGCAGTAAGTGCCCCACGGGCAACAGATGTGCTGCCTGGGGTGGGGGTGGTTTGCTGTTGGGACTGGGAGTCCGAAGAAGGGGCCAGGGAGGAAGCACCCTGGAGCTGTCTGGGAAGCAACGCTGGAGGCTGTGCCCACTTGGGCAGATGGTCAAGATGAGGCGGGCACCAGTTTAACCCAGCCACAGACAAAGCTGCTGAGGCTCTGTGCCTCTGTGCCTACCTGGTATAAGATATGGAGTCAGGACTGAGTGGGCCTCTGTGCTCTGGGCTGACCAAGGATGAGACTGGGGCTCTGTGCCTCTGTGCTCTGGGCTGACCAAGGATGAGACTGGGGCATGCTGGAGAGAGAGCTGACTCCTGACAACCTGGGCTTTGTGTGGAGCAGGTAAGGAAGCCCCCCACCACTTGTCTCCCCATGCCAGTGGTGCAGTGCCCAGAGCCTGCAATCCTCACTCTGGGTGTGGGCCAAGAAAGAACGGACCCTTTGGCTGGTGCACTAGGCGACCCTTAGGCTATCTGGGACCAGCTCTGACAGCCTCTGGTCTGGGATCAGCTGCCGCAGCAACCTACACATGGCATGGGGCAGCAGCGGTGGCATCCCTGGACATTGACTCCAGTAGCATGGAACCCAGGACCGGATACTGCCACAGTCAGCCCGCAGGTGCGGGAGGGCAGGAGGCTCTCAGTCACAACTCTGTGGCTGCACAGTGCCCAGCACCTGCAAACCTGTGCTCTGGGCCAGGCCTAAGGAAAAGTGGACCCTAGGGTAGGATGGCGGTACACTCCCTGACCTCCACGCCCTTAGGAAGCAGCCCCGCAAGACTCTGCCATGGGCTCAGCCACAGCTGCAACCTGGAAATGGCACAAGTCAGTATCAGTGGCAACCCCTGGCCCTGTCCTCCCCCACCAGCAGCAGGAATCCCAGGGACAGATGTCACCATGGTGCCCAACTTAGGCAGTTGGTAGTGCAGCTACAGGGTGATGAAAACCGGCGCTCAGACTCAACCTGGGTGCTGCAGTGGGCCCAGAGCCCGCGACCCCACACTCTGGGTTTGGGCCAAGGAAGCACAGATCTTAGGGTGCGGGGAGGTGCCCTGGGCGACTCCCAGGCTGTCTGAGACCAGCCCTGCAGCCTCCTGTGCATTCTGCTGCACCTGCCATTTAGAGATAGCATTCGGCAGCGTGGTGGCAACCCCTGATCCTGCCCGCTTCCTCCAGCAACGCGGACCTAAGGGCCAGAACCTGCTGCGGGGCCTAAATCAGGCCCCGTAGCAGGAGGAGGACTGGAACTGGTGCCCAGCCCCATCCCAGTGGCTATAGGGTAACCAGCGCCCTGGACCAGGGACAAAGAGGAACAGAAGAACAGAAACCAGCACTGCCACCCTACAGCACAACTGTAGCTGCCACCTGCACATGGCACATCAGAAGCAGTGGCAACCCCAGCTCTGCCTGCCATAAACAGCAGGGGGGGGACCCAGGGACCAAGGTCGCCTCAGAGGCTGCCACCTGGCCACCTCTGCACCCGTCCCTGCCCTGGTGGCAGCCAGCCATGCTCCTACCTCTCCAGCGCTGTGCAGTCTCCCTCGCTGCCACCCACTGCAACGAGGCAAGCCGTGGTGCCACAGGCTCCAGGCTCCAGCATCCAGCATGCAGCAGATAGCTCTTCCTTCTCGTGGCATGGAGTAGCTGGGCAGGCAAACCCAGAAAAGCCTAGAACGGGACACAAGAGAATGGTAGTATTAGACCCCCACCTTGTCATGCTGGCCACTCTGGGTGGCATGGGCCAGTTTCAGTGAAGGTACTCACACCCACCCTCCAAAGACCACAGCATCTCTCTTTGGCCCAAACTGGCTAGGGAGTAGAGACTAGAGACACCATGGTGCCTGGGCTTCCCGCTCCATAGGAACCACTGGGACCACCCAGGCTGTGCTCCGGAAGCAGGAGCAGCAGAAACTCAGCCCCAGCCAGCCCTCCCCACCCATGTGCTGGTTCCTATTCCTGAGACCTCCACCCACAGGGCCCTGTCGCCCCATGGTGTCTGCTACAGAAATGTGTGCCTGCCACACAGCAGCAGATGGCCCTTTAGAGTTGAGAGTCCGGGCAGAGGAGGACCACTCCTCTCTGAGACCATCGCTGTCACTGAAACCTCCATCACCTGTCACTGGCAGTACAGCTTCCGACAGAGCTCCTAACCTGCTGCCACCGGCAGTGTAGCCCCAGGATAGCGCCAACACCCCATCCCCCACCACCAGCAGTGTAGCATGTCATGGCAGCCCCTAACCTGCCCCTGCAGCACTCGATGGCACCCGCAAACCACCCCCCTACCATGGGCAGCACAGCCCGGGATAGCACCCCAACAGACTCCCTGGGGTGGGCAGTGTAGCCAGAGATAGCGTCCCCAAGCAGACCCCCACCACAGGCCCCTATACGGCACCCAAACCATCCCCCATTGCGGGTGCTGCAACCCTGAATAGTGAGTGCCCTAACACACTCCCCGTCGGTAACAGTGTGGCCCTGGATAGCGCCCCCAACCAACTCCCTGCCTCGGGCAGTGCAGCCACCGATAGCACTCCAAACTCCCTCTCCACCTTGGGAAGTACCCCCATGGCTAGATCGGGTAGCCCGACAGCGCACCCAACCTGCCCCTGCCATAACCTACACAGCCCAGAATAGCACACTCACCCGCTCTTTACCAGGCAGCGCAGATCCCTGAGAACACCTGACCCACCCGCCGCCTCCCCACCACTCAGGCTGTGTATCCGGCCCCAAGAGTGCCCCCACCAACCCTCTACCCCACTCCACAGGCAGTGCAACCCTGTGTAGCTCTCCCAACAAGCCCCCCAACCTCTGTCTCAGTGTAGTCCCCATGACGCCTTTACCACCCCCCTCCCCCCACCAGCACTGTAGCACCCCCTAAAGCATCCTCCACCGCCAGCATTGCAGCCCCAGACAGTGCCCCCAACCCACTCCCCATGTGGGTGATGCAGCCTTGGATAGTGCCCCCAACCAGCTCCCAGACACAGGCAATGATGTCGTGGATCCCACAGCTCCCCCCCGACTGGGGGCAACGTAACACCTGACAGCACCCCGAACCCATCCCTCGCCGCTGGCAGTGTTGCACCCCATAGTGCCACCAACCCATCCCAGACAAAGCACGGAGCCACGAAGAAGGAGCAGGGAGGTCTGGAGGATTCCCGGTGGGGTACAAGTCCCAGCCACTTACCGCAGAGACCTGTCTCGTCCTCCACCATCACGTTGAAGCCACCACGGCTTCTCCAAAGAAACTCACTCTGACCGCGCCGCCGCCGCCTCCGCTGACTTCCCGCCGGCCGGGCCGGGGCCGCCGTCGCAGCAGCTGACCTCCCTGTGGCCGGGCCGGGCTGGCCAGGGCCACTGCCGCCGACGCCTCCGCCGACTTCTCGAGGGCCAAGTTAGGATTGCGCCACTGCGCTCCAGCCTGGGCAACAGGGCCAAGCCCGGTCTCAAAAAATGTTTTAAAAATTAATAACAAACATTAAAAAAAAAAAAAAAGGACACTGCCCGGGCTCAGCCTTCGCCTCGGGAGGGAGCTCGGCATGGGCGCTTCCTCCTCCTTGCGCCTGCTTCCCCGCGGTCCTCCTGGGTCCCCTCCCTGCCCCACTCCCCCAACCCCGCGCCCCCAAGCCCACTGATCTTTAACCTTCTCTGCGTCCCCAACCCCCGGGCGCCCAGGGGAAGGAGTCTGCGAGGCGGCCTGGGCTCCCCCACTCCTTCCTCCCGGCTTCCGCGCGCCTCCCGGCCCCGCACCGAGTTACCGCAGCAGCGGCCGCTACCACTGCTCCTGGAAGTCCTGGCGCCGGTCGTCGGAGAAGTAGGCGCGGAAGCTCCAGAGTCCGTCCAGCTCCTTGCGCTCCCGCGACGGGCTCTCCAGGGGTTACAGCGCCCCGCCCTGCGGCGCCAGCGCGCAGCCACACACCTGCCGCGCAGGCCGCCGCCAGTCCGGAAGCCAGGCTGCCCCCTCTGCCGCTCGGCTTCCGGCTGCGGTTAATAGAAGCGCGGGAGGTGGCCGGCGGGCGTGTCGCTGGACGTACTGAGGCCGTCGGCGCCATGTTTGTTGAGGGCGAATGCCAGGCCTGGAGGGGAAGGGGGCCCGGGCGCTACAGGGTGGGGCCAAGGGCTGGGAACCCCGGGCTGGGCCTTTGGCGAAGTTGGACCCTCACACGCAGCCCGTCAAGAAGGGCGAGGTCTTCTCCCCGCTCCCGCCAAGGCTGGACGATCCAGGGCGCAGGCCAGGACAGAATCCCTGAGATCTGGGATTCCCCAGTTTCGTCAAGGAGCACCTCCGCTCGCTTTCCCCAGCGCGACTCCTCCCAGCAGACCCCAGCGGAACCTCTTCCATGCCTGCCGGGTGCAGCGGTGGCTCTCGCCTGTAATCCCAGAAGTTTGGGAGGCAGAAGTTGGTGGATCACTTGAGGCCAGTCTGGCCAACATGCCGAAAACCGATCTCCACTTAAAAAAAAAAAAAAAAAAAAAATAGCTGGGCATGGTGGTGCATGCCTGTAATCTCAGCTACCCGCGAGGCTGAGGTAAGAGAATCACTTGAACCACGGAGGCGGAGGTTGCAGTGAGCTGCGATGTCACCATTGCACTCCAGCCTGGGCGACAAAAGCGAAACGCCATTTTTTGTTTGTTTGTTTTTTCTGAGACGGAGTCTCCCCCGTCACCCAGGCTGGAGTGCAATGGTGCAGTCTGCTCATTGCAACCTCCATCTTCGAGTTCAAGCAATTCTCCTGCCTCAGCCTGCCAAGTAGCTGGGATTACAGGCCCGAGCCACCACGCCCGGCTGATTTATTGTATCTTCAGTAGAGACGGGGGTTTCACCATGTTGGCCAGTCTGGTCTTGAATTCCTGACCTCGTGATCCGCCCGCCTCGGCCTCTCAAAGTGCTGGGATTACAGGCGGGACACACGGCGCCTGGGCTTTTCCACCATCTTTTTTTTTTTTGAGACGGAGTTTCACTCTTGTTGCCCAGGCTGGTGTGCAATGGCGCGATCTCGGCTCACTGCAACCTCCGCCTCCTGGGTTCAGGCAATTCTCCTGCCTCAGCCTCCTGAGTAGCTGGGATTACAGGGACGCGCCACCATGCCCAGCTAATTTTTTGTATTTTTAGTAGAGACAAGGTTTCACCATGTTGCCCAGTCTGGAGTGCAGTGGATATTCACAGGCGCAATCCCACTACAGATGAGCATGGGAATTTTGACCTGCTCCATTTCCAGCCTGGGTTGGTTCACCCCTCCTGAAGCAACCTGGTGTTCCCCTGCTCCTGGGAGGTCACCATATTGATGCCGAACTTGGTGTGGACACCTGATTGGCATAGTGCACTACAGCCCAGAACTGCTGGGCTCAAGCGATCGTCCCACTTCAGCCTCCCGAGTAGCTGGGACTACAGGCACGCACCACCGCGCCCAGCGAAGAAGCTTCATTATGTTTAAGTTCTCCTCCTTCGGGTTTTGTTTTATTTTATTTTATTTTATTATTTTTTTTTTTGAGACGGAGTTTCGCTTTTGTTACCCAGGCTGGAGTGCAATGGCGGAATCTTGGCTCACCGCAACCTCCGCCTCCTGAGCAGCTGGGATTACAGGCACGCGCCACTATGCCTAGCTAATTTTTTGTGTTTTTAGTAGAGACTGGCTTTCACCATGTTGACCAGGATCGTCTCGATCTCTTGGCTTTGTGATCCACCTGCCTCGGCCTCCCAAAGTGCTGGGATTACAGGTGTGAGCCACCGCGCCCTGCTTTTTCTTCCCCCTCCCCCCCCCCCCCCCCCCCCCCCCCCCCCCGCAACCTCCGCCTCCTGGGTTCAGGCCATTCTCCTGCCTCAGCCTCCTGAGTAGGTGGGATTACAGGCATGCGCCACTATGTCCAACTAATTTTTTGTAGAGACGGGTTTCATTATGCTGCCCAGGCTGTCCTTCAACTCCAGGATCAAGTGATCCTCCCACCTCTGCCTCCCAAAATGCTGGGACTATAGGCATGAACCACCATGCTGGCCTCCTTTTTTTTTTTTCTTTTGAATGTTCAATGTGCATCTAGTTATCTTTGTTTAACTTATAAAATGTTACAAAGAACGAGATGTCTTCAATGTGGTTAAGCTGTTGCAGTAACAAAGCAAGACTGTCTAAAAAGGAAGAAAATAAACTTTTCAAAAGAGCAAAGAATCCAAGCTAACATTGCCCTCCATCTTCTAAAATTTAAAAAAACAAAAACAAACAAAAAAAAAACCTCAAACCAAATTCACAGAAAACAGTAGAGAACAGAATAAGTCAGCTGGTCAGACGAACGGCCAGGGGAAAAGTCTGGTTTTGAAATATGCTGAGAACCTCAGAATCTTATTAGTATTAGGTTTTGTTAATTTCAGGAGATAAAATGGAAAATAAAACAAAAACTTCATGTGACAGACATTCTGTACTAGATGGGGAGCCATTAATTTGAAATATCCTCAAATCTGTAAGCAAAACAATTCCCTGGATAACCCTAGAAAATATTTTGAAGGCTCGGAAAGACCTAAAGGGACTCTGAAATGAGCCCTGAAATTCCCATGACTGACTTGTAGTTAGCAGCTGGTATGTGGAGCCAAGCAGAACCCACACCTGGGAATCCTTTCTGTGCCCTAGAGGTAGTGACTCCTAGGAGTGATATGGACTACCAGAAAAGTGCTTGAGATGCTGCTTATGATGCTATGTTGTTGACGTGAAAATAGAGAATGGGAACCTTGAGGGAGAAGGAAACAAGTGTACTCATCAAACCAAGCAGAAATTACCTAGTACTTCTTAGCAATGGAAGAAACCCACATATAAAACAATTAATGTGACCTGAGTCCATGGGTGAGAATAAATAAATAAATAAAAATAAAATAAGAGTGCTGCCTGTCAGGTACAATGACCCAAGCCTGTGATCTCAGCTCTTTGGGAGACTGAGGAAGGAGAATCACTTGATGCCCAGAGTTCAAGGCGGCAGTGAGCTATGATCATGTCACTACACTCCAGCCTGAGTAACAGAGCAAAACCCTGACTCTTAAAAAAAAAAAAACAGCTGAGCACAGTGGCATGGTGCATGTAGTCCTAGCTACTGGGGAGGTTAATGCAGGAGGATCTCTTGAGTCCAGGAGTTCTAGGCTGCAGTGAGCTATGATCATGCCACTGCACACCAGCATGGGCAACAGAATAAGACTCCATCTCTAAAAACATATAAAACCAAGGTTGGATCCAAGATGGCCAAATAGGAACAACTCTGGAGTGCAGTTCCTGGCGAGAATGCAGAGGGTGAGTGATCATTGCATCAACAAACAAATTTTTACTGCCCACAGACCAGGAGATTCCCAGGATGAAAAGCACCACAAGTCTCCACCACGGCTGTTTCAGCCAGTGCAGAGGGTCTCCGCACAAAAACTCACACAAATCAGGGCGGCCATTTCATCAGGCAATATCCATGAACATAGATGCAAAATACTGGCAAACTGATTGCAACAGCACATTAAAAAGCTTATCCATCACGATCAAGTAGGCTTCATCTTGGGGCTGCAAGGCTGGTTCAGCATATGCAAGTCTATAAACATAATTCACCACATAAACAGAACCAAAGACAAAAACCACATGAGTATCTCAATGGATGCAGAGAAGGCCTTTGACAAAATTCAACAGCACTTTATGCTAAAAACTCTCAATAAACTAGGTATCAATGGAACATCTCTCAAAATAATAAAAGCTATTTACATCAAACCCACAGCCAATATCATACCGAGTGGGCAAAAACTGGAAGCATTCCCTTTGAAATCTGGCACTAGACAAGGATGCCCTCTCTCACCACTCTTACTCAATAGAGTATTGGAAGTTCTAGCGAGAGCAATCAGGCAAGAAAAAGAAATAAATGGTATTCAATTAGGAAAGGAGGAAGTCAAATTGTCTCTATTTGTAGACAACACAATTGTATATTTAGAAGACACCATCGTCTCAGACCAAAATCTCTTGATACTGATAAGCAACTTCAGCGAAGTCTCATGATACAAAATCAAGGTGCAGAAATCACAAGCATTCCTATACACAAATAACAGACTTAAAGAGAGCCAAATCAAGAACGAACTGCCATTCACAATTGCTACAAAGAGAATAAAATACCTAGGAATACAACTAACAAAGGATGTAAAGGACCTCTTCAAGGAGAACTACAAACCACTGCTCAAGGAAATAAGAGAGGACGCAGATGGAAAAACATTCCATGCTCACGGCTGGGAAGAATTAGTATTGTGAAAATGGCCACACTGCCCAAAGTAGTTTATAGATTCACCGCTATCCCCATCAAGCTACCTATGATCCTCTTCACAGAACTGGAAAAAAACACCTTAAACTTCATATGGAACCAAAAGAGAGCTCCCATAGCCAAGTCAATTCTAAGCAAAAAGAACAAAGCTGGAGGCATCACACTATCTGACTTCAAACTATACTACAAGGCTACAGTAATCAAAACAGCATGGTACTGGTGCCAAAACATAGATATAGACCAATGGAACAGAACAGAGGCCTCGGAGGCAATGCTACACATCTACAATCATCTGATCTTTGACAAACCCAACAAAAACAAGCAATGGGGAAAGGATTCCCTGTTTAATAGATGGTGTTGGGAAAACTGGCTAGTCATGTGCAGAAAGCAGAAACTGAACCCCTTCCTGACATCTTATACTAAAATTAACTCCAGATGGATTAAAGACTTAAACATAAGACCTAACACCATAAAAACCCTAGAAGAAAACCTAGGCAAAACCATACAGGACATAGGCATAAGCAAGGACTTCATGACTAAGACACCGAAGGCATTGGCAACAAAAGCCAAAATAGACAAATGGGATCTAATTAAACTCCACAGCTTCTGCACAGCAAAAGAAACAATCATTAGAGTGAACTGGCAATCAACAGAATGGGAAAAAATTTCTGCAATCTACCATCTGACAAAGGGCTAATATCCAGAATCTACAAAGAACTAAAACAGATTTACAAGAAAAAAACAAGCCCATTCAAAAGTGGACGAAGGACATGAACAGACACTTTTTGATTCCTCAAGGATGTAGATATAGAAATTCCATTTGACCCAGCAATCCCATTACTGGGTATATATCCAAAGGATTATAAATCATTCTACTACAAGGACACATGCACACAAATGTTCATTGCAGCACTGTTTAAAATAGCAAAGACCTGGAACCAACCTAAATGCCCATCAGTGATAGACTGGACAGGGAAAATGTTGCACATATACACTATGGAATACTATGCAGCCATGAAAAACGATGAGTTCGTGTCCTTTGTAGAGACATGGATGAACCTGGAAACCATCATTCTCAGCAAACTGACACAAGAACAGGAAATCAAACACTGCATATTCTCACTCATAGGTGGGTGTTGAACAATGAGAACATATGGACACAGGGAGGGGAGCATCACGCACTGGGATCTGTCTGGGGGAAATAGGGGAGAGACAGCACGGGGTAGGGAGTTGGGGAGAGAGAGCATGGCAGGAAATGCCAGATATAGGTGATAGGGAGGAAAGCAGCAAATCACACTGCCATGTGTGTACAATCTTGCATGTTCTTCACATGTACCCCAAAACTTAAAATGCAATTTAAAAGTAAAATAAAAAGATTTAATGCTGTAATTCTGACCATGTAAATGATAGTCATTCCTGAGCTATACAGAATGTATTTTCTTTTATTTTTTTTTGAGATGGAGTCTCACTCTCACCCAGGCTGGAGTGCAGTGGTGCCACCTCAGCTGGGTTCAATTCCCCTGCCTCGGTCTCTTGAGTAGCAGGGATCACAGACACCCACCACCACACTCCACTAATTTTTGTATTTTTAGTAGAGATGGGGTTTCGCCACGTTGGCCAAGCTAGTCTTTAACTCCTGACTTCAGGTGATCCACCCACCTCAGCCTCCCAAAGTGCTAGGATTACAGGTGTGAGCCACAGCACCTGGCCTATACAGAACATTGTTATTTGTCTGTACACAAGGATAAAGCTTAAATTTTCAAAGTGAGCACACTAGGCAACCATTGCCCCGATCTAGAAATAGGACAGTAAAACAGAAGCTCCCAACACCTTATGATTCTCCTGTCAACCCTGTCCTCAGTAATCAACCTGCTATCAATCACTGGTCCTCAACTTTTTTGGCACCAGGGACTGGTTTCGTGCAAGATTTTTCATGGACGGGTGGGTAAGATGGCTTCTGGATGAAACTGTTCCACTTCATTAGATTATCATAAGGAATGCGCAATCTAGATCCCTCACATGCAGTTTAGGATACAGTTCATGCTCCTGGGAATCTAATGCTGCTGATGATGACAGGAGGCGGAGCTTAGGTGATGTATTAGTCCTTTCTCATACTGCTATGAACTGTCCAAGAATGGGAACTTTATAAAGGAAAAAGGTTTAACTGACTCACAGTTCCGCAAGGCTGGTGGTTTCACCCATGATTCAATCACTTCCACCTGGTTTCTTCCTTGACATGTGGGGATTATAGGGATAATTCAAGACGAGATTTGGGTGGCAATACAAAGCCTAACCATATCAGGTGGTAATGCTCACTTGCCCACAGTGCACCTCCTGCTAAGTGGCCTAGTTCCTAATGTACTAATCCATGGCCACGGTCCGGATCCATGGCCTAGGGTTGTCAAACCCAGCTGTAGATAGCTTTTGCCTGTTCCTGAAATGTATATACATACATATTTTTGTGAGGTATCTGGTTTCTTTTACTGTTTTCTAGCTTTTTAAGATGAAAGCTTAGATCATGACTCATCTTCAATCTTGTCTAATATTATTTAAAACTATAAATCTTTTGTTAGCTGCATTTGGCAAATGTTTGTGTCACATTATCATTCATTACAAAATAGCTTTATGACATATTTTTATTCCTAATTTTTCTCCCTTGCATTGTGTTCAATATGTTCCTTACAGCAGTCCTTAGAAATCTGCTGATACTTTTATATATTCTAAACAATAGCTGCAGTTGAAATAATCACCTGACTAGCTGATAATAGTCATTCTCCAAGATTTAGCAAACTTCTGTATAGGCTAAACAGATACAATAGGAGCCTCTATCCTCAAACTTCCAGCATTTTGCTCTTTGAGACAGGGTTTCCCTATGCTGCCCAAACTGGAGTGCAGTAGCTATTCATGGGCATGATTAGAGCATACTGCAGTCTCGAACTCCTGAGCTCAAGCTATTCTCCCACCTCAGTTTACCCAAGTAGCTGGAACCATAGGTCCACACCACCACATCCAGCTAATCTTTCAGGATTTTTGATAATGACCTCTCCAATTTTCCTGGAGATGTAGCATTGTTGTGGTTGTTACTATCCTGGCTCCTACTTGGCCCCTGTAATGGCCAGGGAACCAAAGCGGAAATTCTGACAATAGTCAAGTATGTCATTCTCAAATATACACACGGAACAAGAAAAATAAACACAGGATAGGTCCAAAGGCTTAGTGAGCTGCTTGAGAAACAAGCTAGGGTTCAAATTCCAGTTATCACCTGATCTAAAAGCCAACTGCCACTAGCACAGTCACAGACTTAAGCCTCATAGTTCACTAATTCTCATTAAATATGTATTTAACCCATCCATTGAATTTTTAATTTCAAGTTTTCTTTATAACTATAAATTCTATTTTGGAGAATTCCTAAGTATCTGCCCAATTTTTACTTTATTTTAAATTTTAATACAGACAGGATCTTACTATGTTGCCCAGGCTGGAGTGTAGTGGCTAGTCACATGTGCTCATCACAGCAATTCTGGCCTCAAGTAATCCTCCTGCTTCAGCCTCCCAAATGGCTAGGATTACAGGCACATGCCACAGCACACAGCTGCCCAGTTTTTATACACCTTGCCATTTGATCATTTTTGTTACCCTTTTATTACATTATACATATTAAACAGTCGTTTCAATTTCTATATCTGATAACCCTGGATCTGCCATCTTTGTAGAGTTTATACTACAATTTGTTTTTACTTTTGTTTATGATGTCATCTCTTTTGGCAGAATAGGTTTGTTTCTTGGCTGCATCTCTGAAGACAAGACTTCCACTTCCATCTCCCAATTGGAATCATGTTTCATGGTAAGCTCTAACTGCAGACTTGTAAGTCTCCATAGTTGAGGAAGATGAGTTCTGGGGATGAGGGTTGAAAGAGTATCAGCATGCAACAGAGAAAGGCAAATGAGTTCAATGTTGCTGCTTGTGGGGTTGGTGGCAAAAGACTAGACGGTTACAACAGAACTCTGTTTTGGAGCAGGAGTTATGCAAGGGAACCCAGACCTACCTATACTTTTCTGGCTCTTATAAGTCCAAAATGTAACAGGAACCCTTATTCTCAGTAAGTGGACTTTAGTAGTGATGCCCTGTGAATGCTCTCCAAATAAACCTCAGTCACGGTGCTGCAGGCATAAACACAGGGGATCTTGAAGGCAATGCCCTTGGTTGTAGAACTACTGCTGTATGCCAGTCTCTCCCTACAGCTGCCACCTATAACTTGCTCTTCAGGCAACTTAACACACTTAAGAGTAACAATCAGCCAACAAATTAGAAATATATCAAAGATTCAAGCTGACGCAGGGAAAGAAAAAATATCACTTAGTCAAAATTTATTTCAAGGCCTGAAAACATTCAGACTAATCAAAATGGTACTACTGTAACTTCTTATAAAATTAAAAAAATATATAGACACAATTAACCCCTCAAACACCACACAGTCCGATTCTCAGAAGCAATGGCTATTTAACAAGATGTAAAGGGACAATAACATATCAACGAACTTTCACACACCTAAAGAGGGCATTTAGTAGCAAGGTATTCAGACAAAACACAAACATTTTCATATTTCCCATGTTTGTTAACTTTGCCTCATAAAGCCACTGATAATTGAGGTTTCTTTCAAGTATAGGATTTCAAACATTAAAAACTGTTTTTGACATTTATAAAGAAATAAAAAGTAAAACACAATCCAACTGTATTTATGACTCCCTCTTCTCCAACAGCTTTAGATGTTTTTCTGAATACTTTTTTACACAAAATAAAGTACTTTTATTAAAATCAGTTCTCATTCATTTATGCAGATTAGGGGAAAATGATTCATAACTAATTAACTTTAAAATTACCCTCTATATTTCTATCTCTATTCTCCTATCACCACCAAATCTGTTGCTACAGTGAACAATGATGCAATGTACTATTTGAGAGGGCCCAAAGGAATCTGTAATCTTAATTTCCCACATATTAGTTAATTGGAGGAAAAATCCACAGTATGAAGACTAGTTAACTAAAACTTTATGCTTTTATCTCAAGCTACAAGTACTTTTTAGACTAGCATTAAATTATATTGCACATATACAGCTACACAAGTTTAGATTTGCCTTGGAACAAAATTAATTTCAAGGCCTTAAATATTAAAAATAAATAATTTTCTAATTATTTCATAGTTTAATTGGCTCTTAAATAATTTTGCTAGTGAGGGAAACATTGTGTTCTTTAAAAAATTGGTACATGTAAATGAGTATGTGCTCACTTAAATCTTGAGAAAACTAAAGATGAAAATCTGTTTTGTTTTTCCTAAAAAAGGAAAAAAGAAACAAAGACAAATGTTGAAGAACAAGAATATTTACCTTTAAAAAGAAGAAGCATTATCCAACAAAAAGGAGCCATACAGATTTAAAAACACTTATTTTACTGTCTTCAACAACAACAACAAAAAACAGATAGGGGAAGTCCAGAGGACTTAGAACTGAAGTAGCTTTATACAAAATGAAGATGGTACAATGATGTGACTTCAAAGAAAATAGCTAAAACAAAATTTCACAAATATCTTCATGTTTGTAATTTATTAATGCACAAAATATCAAAAATACAAAGTCTGGGTTTCTTCCCTGTAGGTTTATGATAAACTATCAATTTTCTATATAATGCATTTCCTTTTTGTTTTGTTTTTTTATAGAGATGGGGGTCTCATTATGTTGCCCAGACTGGTCTTGAACTCAAGCAATCCTCCCACCTCGGCTCCCAAAGTGCTGGGATTACAGGCGCAAGCCACTGCACTTGGCCTTAATGCATTTACTTTGTTTAGAAGTATACACTATAGAAGTACATACATGCTGGTATTTTACCATGAAAATTTCATATTTCATCTCAAACTAGTGACTTGCCTTTTCACCCATACTTATACACAAGTAATACCTTTCTAGTGGTATATTTTAATCAATATGTATTTTTAGAATCTTGATTTTTAAATGAATCTTTTTAGTGCTATGATATGATGGGCTTCATTTAAAAGTTGAAGCATGATATGGTAACTACATTGTACTGTTTAATTCACAACTGTACGAAAGTGTTTGATTCTTAAAACATAACCAAGATGAGAATGGACAGCAATAAACACAGAAACACTAGAAAACAGTGAATGAATAAATACAATTTTTCATCAGTGGCCATTCATTGTTTTGCTTTTGGAAACCTGAAAGAAACTGTCTTCTTTGATTTTCAAATGTTCTGGTAAATCTAGTTGTTTCTTAGCTTCCTCAATATCACCTTGAATTGCTGAAATAAGTGACTCTGCAGAAAGAATATACCAGATTAAAATGATGAAAAACTGTTAACATTACTTTTTACTACTCCTGTTTAGCCTCGCCTAAAGACTCATAGGCTGGCAGTATCTCTGGCACAGGGTAGATACGCAGTAAATGTTTGTTCCATCACTCCTTCCAGGCCTAAGTCAATGGTACACAAAAGACATGTCCCTAGGCCAGGCGTGGTGTCTCACATCTGTAATTCCAGCACTTTGGGCAGATCACCTGCGGTCAGGAGTTTGAGACCAGCCTGACCAACATGGTGAAACCTCATCTCTACTAAAAATAGAAAAATTAGCTGGGCGTGGTGGCGCGCACCTGTAATCCCAGCTATTAGGGAGGCTGAGACAGGAGAATCCCTTGAACCTGGGAGGCGGAGTTTGCAGCGAGCTGAGACTGCGCCACTGCACTCCAGTCTGGGCTAGGAAGAGCAAAATTCCATCTCAAAAAAAAAAAAAGATATGTCCCTAATCTTATAATTTAAAAGAAAGGCATAGGCAAAAATATCAAATGGAAGAAACAAGCATTCACTATTCTTTTTGGTTGGTATTTATACTTGTAAAAGATACTTTACAACAGAGTTAAAAGTATCACACTACACTAATAGATACCTGATAACACTTGTTTCAAATATTCTCTCATCTACTATATCTCAAACATCATCACACATTTTGAAAGATTTCATTAACTTCTTACTGCTGGAGAGAAGCAGCCAGCCTGCTAGGTTGGAAGCTAGGCTCCCTTACTTACTCTATGACTTTGAGAATGTTAATCTCTCTGTGCCATCTCCTCATCTGAGAGACAGGCAATAAAATCCCTCAGAGGTAAAAGAAGATAAATTAATGTAAAGCATTTAAACGGTGCCTGGCATATATTAAATGCTCAAATGCTATCTGTCCTGCCATTATTTATTACTGGTAGTAGCGGTAGAGGTACCTGCGGTAGCAGTAGTAATATTTAAGAAGATTAAAATAAGAACTTACCTAAAGAATCAAAGTTCTTTTCTGGTCTGAGGTAGCCAACAATGGCCACATTGAGGATTTCCCCATAGAAGTCCTCTTTGAAGGTATGCATGATATGTGTTTCCTATAGTCAAGAAATGTTAAAAAGAATGCTATCAGATTACAGTGTACCTGAAATCTGAAATATATCTTAATGTTTATGGTGGGTTAATTTAAATGAAACAATCAACACTCTTTAAATTTTTAATGATTTAGGTTAAAATCTAGGTGCAGTTTTCCCTAAATTTTCCCAGTGTTCCTATTTGTGCCCCAGTCTTATAAACCTAACTGAGTGAGGTGGTAGCATCTGGCATGATTTGCCGTTACTTAAAAAAAAAAAACAAAACCAAAACCTGACATGTATCCAAGGAAGCATCTTACCAAGGTGAGAAAACAGGACACCAAACAGAGAATAAGAAAAGTATTAAAAGATGTTACTACTAAACAATTAGTTGTAAGGTCAGTCAGGTCTGCACATCTCTGACACACAACAAGTATGGAAACTTCAGAGTTTGGCAGAGCTGAGAACTGATGGGACAGGAGAGCCATGCAGCTTCCTGATCAGGGAGCAAAGTGGCAAAAGGGCATAGGGCATGTTAAAGCAAAATGCTGCATGAGGTAGAAAGTGCCCTAGAATCTAGTTCAGCTAAATCATCTGGGCAGTATTGTGGTTAAGAGCACCGATTTAGAGTCAAGTCTGGATTCCCATACTTGGTTAACTGTATGACTAGCTTTTTGTGGGGCTTAGTTTTCTCGTCTGTAATGGGCAGGGGGCAGTGTGAGTTAGAAGATACATAAACTGCCCCATGGCTTTGGGGCTATGAACCAATACATCTGATGTGTATTCTTTCTTTTCAGTAAACATTTGAACAATAAAAAAGAAACTAAGATATTTAAGACCAGCCGGGTGCAGAAGCTCATGCCTGTAATCCCAGCACTTTTGGGAGGCCGAGTAGGGTGGATCATTTGAGGTCAAGAGTTCAAGATAGGCCTGGCCAACATGGTAAAACCCCATCTCTACTAAAAACAAAAATTATCGGGGCATGGTGGCGCATACCTATAGTCCCAGCTACTCAGGAGGCTGAGACAGGAGAATTGCTCAAACTTGGGAGGTGGAGGTTGCAGTGAGCAAAGATCATGCCATTGCACTCCAGCACTCTAGCCTGGGCAACAGAACAAGACTCCGTCTCAAAAAAAAAAAAGATATGCAAAACCATGACACTGACAATTACAAGACATTATTGAGATATTGAGAGAAATGGCAAACTTCCCAAACTAATCTATGAAGTCAATGCTGCCCCAACGAAAATCCTTGTGAGTTTTTAAAAATAGGAGAACCTGACAAGTGATTCCAAAATGTATATGGAAAAGCCAAAATTATCCAAGAAAATCTTAAGAACAAAACTAGAGGGCTTATACAACTAGATATCAAGACCTATGATAAGACAAGCAGACCAAGTATGTATAAGTTTATTTTGGATTCACACACATGTAAGGTCACTTGATTTATGTCCCAGGTAATACTGCAGCACTGTTGTGAAAGGATGGTATTTTCAATGAATAAGCAGGTCAATCCTACATCCATGAGGAAAAAAGTATTCATTTTAATCTCTACCAGATACCATACTAAAAAAAAAAATCAATTTGAAGATATGTCAGTTAATTAAGCTTTTAGAAAAAAAACACAAACAAGTATCTCATTACTTTGGAGTAGGCAAAGATTTCTGAAACAGATTATATAAAGCATTAGCTATTAAAGAAAAATTTTGAATTGGATTATATTAAAAATTAAGAACCTCTAGGCTGGGTGCAGTGCTCATGCCTGTGATCCTAGCACTTTGGGAGGCTGAGGAAGGAGGATTGCTTGAGCCCAAAAGTTTGAGACCAGTTTGGGTAACATGCTGAAACTTCATCACTATAAAAAAAATTTTAAGATAGCCAGGCATGGTGGCACATGCCTGTGGTCCTAGCTATTCAGGAGGTTGTGATGGGAGAATCACTTCAGCCCAGGAATTTGAGGCTGCAGTGAGCTGAGATTGCCATTGTACTGCAGACTGGGTGACAGAGCAAGACCCTATCTGGAGAAGAAAAAAAAAACCTCCGTTCAACACACCATTGACTTTAAGAAAAAAAAAAAGCAACATGATGAAAGAAATTTGTAATACAGTACACAGTTCCAACAAAGAAAGTAGATCTAGTTGTGTCACGAAGAACTTATTTAAGGTCAGTAAGACAACACATTTTTTTTAAGGGCAAAGGACTTGCACAGGCAGTTCACAGATGTCCGTTACTGGCAAAGGCAAGGAAAAGTTCAATTTTCCACTGGTAAGATATGCCTGCAATTCAAATTCAATTTTTCCTAACACTCAAAAGGCATTTGTTAACTGGCTCTATTATAACATTTTTGTTATCTGAGTAAAGAAAAATTAGTCATGGGATATTGTCCCCTCCCCTTCTTTTCCTTCCTCATTCAACAGAAAAGTATTTTGTGATCTTTCCATTGTTTTCCTTGTCTCCAAACAATAATTTCCAAATCATTAATACTCAAAAATAACTGAATACTGAGCAAAATGTTAAGCAGTTCTTGGTCGTTACTATTGCTTATACCAGCATTTAACTTCGTAGTTTTCCAAATGTGACACACTTCACTTCTATTAACTCGACGCAGAACAAAATTTAGATTAACTGTATTTTGCTTTTGCCACACATTTGAGCTGACAAAAGGTTCAGCTAAATCTAACAGATAAAACACTGAGGTTGTGTGGGTCCTGTAAAAAGAGTAGGGCAGAAAAGTATACCATACCCTCAGGTGGTTTAAAAAGGAAGGAGAAAAGCACCAATCAGGGACTAGATCAATAAGCACCATACAACCTGTTTTATCTTAAGAGGGTGACCAACTAATTGATGTATGAAGTAAACGGTAAATGAAGTGCACTAATTGCCGCAAGCTCAATTTTATGAAACATGCTTTTAAATCATTTTTATCTTCGGTAAAGTCAGTCTTTCATAGACAACAATTATCAAAGTCAGTATTATAATTTTGGTTTTTAACTCTATTTTCTACATAATTTTAAAAACAAATGCATAAAAAAATTATTAATCTTTGTTATTGGGTACCACAATATATAAGGATATAATCTGAGCTGGACGCAGGCAGTGGCATGCACCTATAGTCCCAGCTCTCTGGAGGCTGAAGGAGGATTACTTGAGCCTATGAGTTTGAAGCTACAGTGTGCTACAACCTGGCCTGTGAACAGCCACTGCACTCCAGTCTGGACAACATAGTGAGACCTTATCTTTTACAAAAGAAAAAAAATGGATGCAATTTGTGAGTTCTGTATGCTATTGAAATTAAGTTGGTATAAACTCGAATTAAACTTCTAGAACTTCAGGATGTTAAATATAAACCCCATGGTAACCACAAAGACAGTATCTATAGAAATACATAGAAAGTAATAAGAAAGGAAATTAAAATATGTCGCTACAAAAAAAATAAAAACTACTACAAAGGGCAGTAATGGAAGAAGTGAGGGACATGACATAAAAGTTGTAAGGCAAATAAAAAACAGCAAAACAGAAGTCCCTCCTTATCAGTAATTACTTAAAATGTTAATGAATTAAACTCTCCAATTAAAAGGCAGAGATTGCCCAAAATTCCAGTATTTGAACCACGTTGTGATTACCACTGATAAGCTATTTCTTCACCTAATGCTATAATACATTCTCTAAGTCATCATACCATTTTCAGTTACAGAGCCAAATATAATGCTTACCACGGATTTCTTCGTATTCTTGTAGTATGGGTTCCAGCCTATGCTCACCACCATCTTATGAACATCTCCACTTCCAACACTGGCCCAACCATAATAAATGCCAGTGGATATATCAGCTGGAAGATTATCTACCACTTGCTCAGGAAAATTAGCTAAACAACAAAAGTAAATATTTTGAGTATTATAAATTTTGTATTAAATGTCTGTAGCCAGGTGCAGTGGCTCATGCCTGTATTTCTAGCACTTTGAGGGGCCAAGGCAGGAGGCTCATGTTAAGCTCAGGGGATTGAGACCAGCCCGGGTTTAACGTAGTGAGATCCTGTCTCTACTAAAAAATTTAAAAATTAGCTGGGCATAGTGGCCTGCACCTACAGTCTTAGCTACCAGAAAGGCTGCGGCAGGAGGGTCACTTGAGCCCAGCAAATGGAGGCTGCAGTAAGTTATGATCGCATCCCACCACTGCACTCCAGCCTGGGTAACAGAGCCAGACTCTGTCTCAAAATAGTAATAACAAAAACCAAACATTGGTAAAATCACATGCAAAGCTAATAACGTAAATCATTACATTCACAAGACTCCTACGCTGTCTATAATTATCAATCCCATCCTTCCATTTTCCGGCTCAGATTTCCCTCTCCTGTCCACATGATTAGGTTATGAATAAAGTACCAGGTAAGTGTATAAAGCTCTCCAAAAAAAAAGCCATACTCTTGGAGTAGGAGGAAAAACACAAGTACGAGAATAGACGGATTTTTTTCAAATCTGTTCTTTCCTAATCAGGTACTGAATCACTTGAAAAGTTTTTCTTTTTTTTTCTTTTTTCTTTTGAGACTGTCACCCAGGCCGGAGTGGTATGATCTGGCCTCACTGCAGCCTCCACCTCCTGGTTCAAGCGATTCTTCTGCTTCAGCCTCCTAAGTAGCTGGCATTACAGACACGCGCCACCATGCCAGGCTAATTTTTGTATTTTTAGTAGAGACGCGGTTTTACCATGTTGGCCAGCCCTATCTCAAACTCCTGACCTTAGGTGATCCACACTCCTTAGCCTCCCAAAGTGATGGGATTACAGGCGTGAACCACCACGCCCGGCCAGTTTCTTATTGAAAACACCAGCCTAGGCCCCAAGCTCAAGGCTGACTTAAGTCAAAACGCAGCCCTGGCGTGTACTAAGGATGAATTCCAGTCAGGTCTCAATTACTGAAATTAATGTAGACAGACTAAGATTAGCTGACTCTCATTCAACTATGTCATCATCTGGACACTATATAATTACAAATTGAAAACAAAACCACCTTAGAGCCAGCTTTCGAGTTCACCCGATCTGGCCCACGTTACGTCTCCAATGGGCAAGACAAGCGCCATGCTTGGCCAACTGTACCTTGGCTGGCCAGGGAGGTGTTAACGGGGATCCAGCGATACATCACCAGCTTCCCGCCCTCACCGCCCCTCAACCCCGGTCCCGCGGAGCTCGGAGCCAGGGGCAGGACCAGCTCCCTCAACCTGAACAACGGTCCTTAGTCGCAGAGGAGGAGCTCGGAGAGGAAGAAGGGTGTCCCCTCTGCCGCGGCCCGGAGGTCCCACGACCCGGCCCCGAGACTGCGGCTGCCGTCTTCCCCGCTTCCCACGTGACCCACACCGGGGACCTCTTGCCGCCCCGCTCACCTGTAGGGATGCCCAGCTGCTTGGAGCCACGGCCGAAGCCATGCACCACTTGGCCGCGGCAGAAGTAAGGCAGATGCCTCATAATGCAGTCCGCTCGGGGCATCGGCTGCGGCCCGGTGCGCGCGCCCTGTGGAGCCGCCGTTGACTCAGTGCCTGGACCCCGGACCAGCCAGGGGGCAGGAATGTGAGGGCTGCCTGCCGCGTGGCGCAAAGGGGCCGGGCGACGCCAACGACACGCCGCAGCGGATCCCTGACGCCGCCGACCCAACAAAATACGCCCAGCAACTCCGGAGCTGCGTCTCCGCGAGGTAGCAGGGCCTACAACAGAAGTAAATGCCGGTGTGGGCGGGGTGTGGGGAGGGGGCGGCCCGACGCCCAAAGCCCGTCCCCGCGCCGCCGGCGTGTGCTCGCTTCCACAGCAGAACGCCTACGCCCGTTCGGCTTCCGTAGCCGCGCCCCCCCCCAACACCGTAGCCTCGCCTGGCTGGGGCCACGCCCTGCTCCCGCCGCGGCCCCGAGGCTTACTGTCTCGATCGCGGGCTTCGTTTCAGCCCCAGGCGATATGAACTAACGTGGGAACCCTATTTTCTTTTTCTTTTCTTTTTTTTTTTTTTGAGACGGAGTTTCGCTCGTTACCCAGGCTGGAGTGCAATGGCGCATTCTCGGCTCACCGCAACCTCCGCCTCCTGGGTTCAAACAATTCTCCTGTCTCAGCCTCCCAAGTAGCTGGGATTACAGGCATGTGCCACCATGTCCGGCTAAATTTTTTTGTATTTAGTAGAGACGGGGTTTCACTATGTTGGCCAGGATGGTCTTGATCTCTTGACCTCGTGATCCACCCTCCTCGGCCTCCCAAAGTGGGAACCCCATTTTCAACTGAGAGCCGCGAAAGCACCACTGTCGAAAAATTCTGGGTTTTCTTCTCCTTCCTCCTGTTTCCAACAATACGGACGCCAAAGCCAGACGCTTTTTAGCTCCTTGGCAACCGCTGTGTTGATTGTCAGGCATTGCTCGTTCCGTTCGCTCTTTAAACATTTATTAAAGCTCCAAAATCCAGCTCAAAGATGGCCTCTTCACAGAGGCTTTTGCTGGGAGCCCTACCGGAAGCGGTCGTCATCTTCCCGGACCACTGACCAGGTTCTGGAGTTATTAACATATGCGAATGTAAGCTCCAGGGGAGCAGTCCCTGTCTGTGACGCTGTTAACCCCAGCGACTAGTGGAATGTTACCGAGATGGGCGGTGACTGTCTCCTCCAGGCTTCTGCTAGACTACTTCACGAGCCCGGTGACAGGCTATCCCTTTACTACAAGGCAAATAGAGGCCTTCCGCCCCTCGGAGCTGTAAACACGCACGCACCCTGGGAAGTAGCTTAGGGATCGCTCACAGGATATGCAGTGTGCAAAGTTATACGAAGGTGCATCCTCTTACCTCTCAAGGACAAAGGCGTTTTTTATTTTAAAAAATTTTAATCAATGGAATCCAAAGAAATAAGTTTAATTGTTCTTTTCTTTTTTGCTCTATACATTTGTATAAAATTCTGTCCAGACCGTGTGGTCTTGTTTCTACCTTCCATGTCTGTAATTCTGATAATGTTTACCTGATATTAAATTTATGTTCAAGGCCAGGCGCGGTGGCTCTTGCCTGTAGTCCCAGTAGTTTGAGAGGCCGACCCGGGAGTATTTATTGAGCCCAGGAGGTCAAGGCTGCAGTGAGCTGTGATCCCGCAACTGTACTCCAGCCTGGAGTCTCACATAGTGAGACCACCCCTTAAAACAAATAAAGAAGAGAAAGGAAAGGAGGGAAGGGGAAGGGATGGTGAAAGGCAGGGGAAGGGAAGGGAGAGAAGGACCTAAAGAAGCAGTTATGGTCAGTTACTTATCTATACAGAATTAAATAAACAATAGTGACAATAACGGTAATAGTGATACCGGTAGTAAGAGTAGTAATAGCAAGTTATGAAAAGCAATTAAATTATCTGGAGAGGCTTAAGAGTTATTTTACCAAGGTCTTCACAGTATTCTGTCACTCTTGACTCCCATCCTTGATAAGATTATGCTGCATTCCTTCTTATATAGGAAGGATGTTGCTCACATGGTAATTTTTTTATCTGCTTTTAAGAAACAGAAAAGAGGTCAGAATGATTTTCTTGTATCTACTGTTTTTCAAGTGCTTTTAATTCAAAATAGCCATTCTGACATATTTTTGACTTCATCATCAGTGATACACCAAGTAAGAAAAGCCTGGAGGTGAGAACTTGAGAAGTCATCCCTGGGTCTTACTCCACTAAACCCTACGTTCCAAGAAGGTATGAGAATTAAATGAGATAAAATAATTAAATGAGTCATAGGAGATAAATGAGGAGGGGTGGTTTTAAGAATTAATAGAATGCTAAGTACTTTTCACACTGTCCGATGTAATCCTCTCATCAGCTTTGGAGGAAAGCATTAACCTAAACTTATAAAAATGGACAGGGCGCCGGGCGCGGTGGCTCAAGCCTGTAATCCCAGCACTTGGGAGGCCGAGGCGGGTGGATCAGGAGGTCAAGAGATCGAGACCATCCTGGTCAACATGGTGAAACCCCGTCTCTACTAAAAATAAAAAAAAAAAAATTAGCTGGGCATGGTGGCGCGTGCCTGTAATCCCAGCTACTCAGGAGGCTGAGGCAGGAGAATTGCCTGAACCCAGGAGGCGGAGGTTGTGGTGAGCCGAGATCGCGCCATTGCACTCCAGCCTGGGTAACAAGAGCGAAACTCCGCCTCAAAAAAAAAAAAAAAAAAAATGGACAGGGCATAGTGGCTCACACTTGTAATCCCAGCACTTTGGGAGACGGAGGCAAGAGGATCCCATGAGCCAAGGTGTTCAAGACCAGCCTAGGTCAAATAGGGAGACTTCTGTCTCTACAAAAAATTTAAAAATTAAAATTAAAAAAGAGAGAGAGAAGAAGAAGAAAAAAAGAAATGAAAAGAAAAGAAGGGGAGAAAGGAAGAAAGAAAAATTTAAAAATCAGCCAGGGAAGGGCACGGTGGCTCACACCTGTAATCCCAACACTGTGGGAGGCCGAAGCTTGTGGATCACTTGAGCTCAGGAGTTGGAGACCAGCCTGGGCAACATGGTGAAACCCCGTCTCTATAAAAAATACAAAAATTAGCCAGGAGTGGTGGCACTTGCCTGTGGTCCTAAATACTCAGGAGGCTGAGGCATGAGAGTCACTTGAACCTGGGAGGCAGCAGTTGCAGTGAGCTGAGATCACAACACTGCACCCCAGCCTGGGAGACAGAGCAAGACTCTCAGCCAAGTGTTGGTGGCTCGTGCTTATAGCCCCAGTTACTTGGGGAACTGGGGCATGAGGATCACCTGAGCCCCAGAATTCGAGGTGGCAGTGAGCTGTGATTAAAACCACTGCACTCCAGACTGATGACAAAGCCAGGCACGGTCACTAAAAAATAAACAGGCCGGGCACAGTGGCTCTCGCCCGTAATCCTAGCACTTTGGGAGGTTGAGGCAGGCAGATCACCTGAGGCCAGGAGTTCCAGACCAGCCTGGCCAACATGGTGAAACCCTGTCTCTATAAGAAAAATTCAAAAATTAGCAGAGCATGGTGGTAAACGCCTATAATCCCAGCTACTTGGGAGGTTGAGGCAGAAGAATCGCTTGAACTCAGGAGGCGGAGGTTGCAGTGAGCCGAGATTGCTCCATTGCACTCTAGCCTGAGCAGCAGAGTAAGACTCCATCTCAATAAATAAATAAATAAACAAAGAAATAAATGTATGAAAAAAGGAGAGATTTGTAGAATGTTTAAGGTGGAGCAGTCAGGCTCCAATCTTTTAAATTACCATTTACACGTCAAGACGTATGTGTAATTACTGTGTAATCAGCATAGGATATAGAAGAAAGAATTCTTTTTTTTTTCTTTGAGACAGTCTCACTCAGTCACCCAGGCTGGAGTGGGGTGATGCAATTTCAGCTCACTGAAACCTCCACCTCCTGGGCTCCAGCAATTCTCCTGTCTCAGCCTCCCAAGTAGCTGGGTTTACATGTGCCACCACCATGCTAATTTTTCGTATTTTTATTAGAGATGGAATTTCACTATGTTGGCCAGGCTGTTCTGGAATTCCTGGCCTCAAGTGATCTGCCCTTCTCGTCCTCCCAAGAAGGAAGAATTCTGATCATTTTCCACCACTACTCAGTAGCTTTCAATGGCTCCTCCCCTCTCAGTGAAGAATAAAATAACCCTCCAAGAGTTGTACTTCTAAGAACTCCCATCAAGTACTTTATCTGTTGATCAAAGCAGACCCCTCATTTATTCAGAGGCCAAAGAATATGCTGAAAATAATTCAAATAATTATTCTGTGAGCTATAGGATTTATTCTCTTAAAAAATATGCTACCTAGCATTCTCAGTAAATCTAGAGTTGAGAAAGTAAGTGTGTTTGCCAAACTTACTGCTTTTAACCAAGGAAGTATTCTAAGAATGCTTTTTATTTCCCTCTCTGAACTGCATGTGCACATTCCTTCATCTTCCTGTTGGGAGTCTACCTACTTCTCTGGTTTAAGTTGTCTCTGTAGAAAGAAAGATCGCAAATGAGACTAAAGAGGAAGTAGAACTGGCAAAATGTAAAGGAAAAGAGAGGGCCCACGCTAAGTAAGCAATAAAAAATAAATCTGGCCGGGCGTGGTGGCTCACGCCTATAATCCCAGCACTTTGGGAGGCCAAGGTGGGTGGATCACGAGGTCAAGAGATCGAGACCATCCTGGTAAACATGGCAAAACCCCGTCTCTACTAAAAATACAAAAAATTAGCTGGGCGTGGTGGCGCGTGCCTGTACTCCCAGCTACTCAGGAGGCTGAGGCAGGAGAATTGCCTGAACCCAGGAGGTGGAGGTTGCGGTGAGCCAAGATGGTGCCATTATACTCCAGCCTGGGTAACAAGAGCGAAACTCTGTCTCAAAATAAAATAAAATAAAAATTAAAATAAATCTGACGAATTCTTAAAATTTAACAATAAGAAAATAGGAAACTGAATTAAAAATGGGCAAAAGATCTGAGTAAGCATATGAAAAGATGTTGAACTTATGTCATTGAGGGAATGTGTTCTCTTTCAAGGTCCACCAGGGGGCGAAGTTTTAAGAGCAAGAAGTTCCCAGTGCCATGCCCGCCACCCCCTACCCCCACCCCTGGATCTCTCCCTATCCAGGAGATTTAATGGTTTTTGTTTTAATTTTCCTGGGCGCGGGAAGAATCAACAGTCAGTCACTCCAGCGGAAGTTCCAAGGAACTCCTTACATTGGTCAGGGTGGTCTTAGAGAAGGTGAGGGTTCCTCCAAGGTTAAAAGTCCCCTTCTTCCACACTCCTTTGGACTCCATGTTCAGGTCTCCTTCCACGAACACTCCCTTCATGGAAGCCCTCTTTCTCTCTCCTGGATTTCCTCTCTGGAGTCCCCTTCCACACTCTCTCGTGGAAGCCTGTCTTCCCCTCCTAATCTCCATCTCTCTATTCCCTTCCACTCAGTATGGAAGCTGCTTTCCTCTCCTGGATTTCATATTTCTGGATTCTCTCACTCAGTGTAAGAGGAGTTGTCCTCTAGTTTTTCACCTCTGGGAACCCTTCTCACTCAGTGTTAGAGCGGCTTTTCTTTCTCTCACTCAGTGTGAGAGCTAGCTGTTTCTTTCTCTCTCCTTCTCCTTTTTCTTTCTTTACCTAAATAAATCACTTTTCTGCAAAAACCTTTGAGTCTAGTATTTATTTTACAAGTACACTGTGCCATGGTCTCCTCTCCCATTCTTTTTTTTTTAATTGCATTTTAGGTTTTGGGGTACATGTGCAGAACATGTAAGATAGTTGCATAGGTACACACGTGGCAGTGTGATTTGCTGTCTTCTTCCCCTTCACCCACATCTGGCATTTCTCCCCATGCTATCCCTCCCCAGCTCCCCCACCCCACTGTCCCTCCCCTATTCCCCCCAATAGACCCCAGTGTGTAGTGCTCCCCTCCCTGTGTCCATGTGTTCTCATTGTTCATCACCCACCTATGAGTGAGAATATGCGGTATTTCATTTTCTGTTCTTGTGTCAGTTTGCTGAGAATGATGTTCTCCAGATTTATCCATGTCCCTACAAAGGACACAAACTCATCGTTTTTGATTGCT